TTTTATTTAATAAAGGTGACTTAGTCCTACTGTCTACGGTTAATCTACCAAAGCATGTAGTGACTAACTTGGGTAGCAGTAAACTACTACCCAAGTACATCGGCCCATTTCGTGTATTGCACCGCCTAGGCAATGCATACACGATCGAGTTACCACGTAAGATGCGAACGCATCCCACGTTTTACGTTGGTCGGCTTAAGCCGTACCATCAGTACGCTGCTTCTTCCGATGAAGAACGCCCTTGCGCTCTAGCATCTCGCAGAGAGCCTTGTGCTCCCGATGGTGGGCATCAACAAGGGTCTGAAGAGCAGCTATCTCATCCCGAGACCGATCAGCAATCCCACGAGCTACCCTTAGCTCGTCACGAAGAGATGTCAGAGATCTCTCGTTCTCAAGCTGAGCAAAGGCAAACTCAGCTCGATGCTTCGAGGCAGTGTCCGCCATTTGGAGACGCCTATTCCGCTCATGTTCGAGATCGTCGCGTAACCCTTGCGTTACGCGATCAAAAGAAGCTCTCGGGAACACACCGATCCACATGATCGTGTGGAGAGCGTCTTTCCTCCTCCTCCACCTCCATTAGAGGACTCTCGCGGTGGCCAGCGCTATCTAGTTGAGCAGCTGTTGAACCACCGCGACGTGAACGGACGTCGGACGAGTTATCTCGTCCGGTGGCGCGGCTATCCCCCGTCCTGGGATTCTTGGGAGCCCCGCTCCCAACTGATGATCGACGTACTGGGTCTGGTTGAGCAGTACGACGCGGCACATCCTGTGCCGCAGAAGGACCGCCGGAGAAAGTCTTCCCGGCACGGTCGTAAAGGGATTTCAGGTTGTCAATCCCTTCGTACATCTCAGTAGAGACACGTACGCGCCACCACGGGCTGGTAAGGAGGTAAGCCTCCTTAGGTGCTCGTGCAGAGTTGTTCACACAACATGGGCACGAGTCTCCCCAAGAGAGGCAGGGTAATCCTTTCTCCCTTGACAGACGATGCAGCTTGTAGCGTGCACCTGTCGGGGTTCGCTTTTCAAACTTATCACGAGCTTTGATAAGTTTGTCGTTCCAAGCGTCACGACCTACATCCTCGAGTTTATGGATGTAGGCGTTCCACGCCTGAAGTAGTGAGGGACCATCACGTTTGTGATTCCCACTGTACCATCGATGTCTAAAAAAAGCATCGATAGAGAATTCATGTTCAGCGCGATAGTCTTTCGCGCTGGGGTCAAGGTGATGGATCCTTGACGAATCGAACAATCGTGTTCGATAACGATCACTCGTCGTCGCCGACAAGTGATCCATGACAGATTTAGGAGGCATCCATGCCTTCTTTTCTGGAGCGAGACGCAACACATTGCGGTCCCGCTCTTCCTGCGACGTGCCGACAGAAGTACTGGCACCTCGCTGTGAAGTGGTGTCCATTGGAGAAACGACACCACTATTAGCGCCCGAGTCTCGCGACCTCGAGCGCCTTCGCTTCGGCGATGGTTCATCTGACTCATCAGATGAACCAAAGATGCTGCGACGCAAAGCATCGTCCATGCCACGCTTGGCAGGCGGCTTGGATTCAATTGCCGTCGATACGGATCCGTCATCCGTATCAGGAGAGTACGAGACACCGAGCTCGTACTCTGTGAAGACACGAGTGTCTTCATGACCAGCGCCTGCATCACCAGGTGATACAGGCTGAGTCGATTCAGCAACCGATGGGACATCAGTTGCTGTAGTTTCTGCTTCGGCGTCCGCACAGAGACGTGCAGACGCGCTCTCGGCGGCCTTGCTCGCGCATCGCATGGGCTTGTTTACCATGCGATGAGATGTTGGAAAGTGGACGCGGACCAACAAGTGCAAACCCCGTCCCAAATGATTTGGGACGAGTATCCATTTAGTCAATCAGTCACTAAAGTGACTGATGGTTAAGGGGGGTGATGTAACGGGGTGAATCGTTACATAACAATTTATAAGAAATTGTTAATAGAATATAACTATAAGAGTTATATTCTCAGAATATTGTCATAAGGACAAATATTCTGTTGCACTTACAAGTAGTTCCTAATTGGTTGATATAGGCCATTATATCAACCAACGAAGACGCGCCACGACAGACGCACGCAATGAGTGGTGAGCAGATAACTGATTTACACATTTGTATTTAGACATAGTTAGATGAAGATAAATAGTGATTTATTGCAGACATTAACTATGATAAATACAGTTCTACTTTTTACTCTAACCAAGTACTCGCTTCTTCTTACCGTCTTCCTCTGCACGTACGAGTGTACGTGAAGTTACGAGGCACCGCCTTATTCTGTTATCGGAATAAGTAGCTTGTACTGTCACCAGTACAAGCTTCAGGGTGCCCCGTTACACTGTTGATGTGCTCCAGCACGTCATCACCTTCTCCCATCATTGTCGTGAAGAACCGCGACGAAGGAAGAGCTTATTAGCCAGGCTTTTCTTCTCGTAGTGTCCTTCCAGACTTGACCATGCATCATATTCGCGTCCTTCGCCGAGCAAACCAGTGGCAACTACGAATCCTCCATCGCATACAGATCATCGCTAGCGCCTTACGTGACTATGGCTTGAACGTCGATTGGTTTAAATTATTTGTGCAGTACTCAAGCTTGACCTCGCCGTTCATGACGTCCACAATGGTCTCGCTCCTCCCGCACCATTTGCATCTTAAACTTTCACACATGGAAGTTTGTTCCGGTGAACTTGTTGATTCGAGCGGCGGCGAACGGATATGAGTCAATGGCGAAGGCTTGATCGAGGTCTTGGGCAGAGTTTGCAAACATGGGCTCATAACCAAATGGAAGTGATCGAGGTTTTGCAAAATGCACAGTGAATATATTTAGGTCCTTAGTTCTCAACCTCCTGGTGCTACTCGAAGCCTGCTTTATTCTTTCGGACTCTACGTTGGTAATCGTCTAGTCGTACATTACTAATCGTCTCGTCGTACGTTTCTAACTCAGATAGTGTGTTTCTAACAAACACCGTAACTTACTAAGATGGGGGACGTCACTGTCTGGCAGGACAGTGCTGGTGAACCCCGGCACACCAGTACCCGAAGGTTTTAACTTTTTGTTGCAGTCACTGGATATCAAACCAGTGACCTCTCGCATGGTGCTGCCACACCAAACCACTTGAGCTACAGGTTCTTGTGCGAATACGCATGCCGAGGCGCATTTGTGACAACACTCCCACTCGCCTCGGCAGAAGTTAGCACCTTGACACCCAGCATGTTCCGTAGATGTTGAAACTGTATTGCAGGAATTGGCTTCGTCATCAGGTCGACCTTCATGTCCTTGGTCGAGCAGTATTCCAACACCAATGTTCCTTCAGCCACTTTTTCGCGTACAAAGTGATACCGAATGTCAATGTGTTTTGTGCGCTTGTGAAATTCGGGATTTTTGGCCAAAGCGATGGAACCTTGATTGTCTTCGTAAATCTTGACAGCTTCATCGCTCCTCATCTCGTCGAGCTCACATAATAGTGCCTTCAGCCAAATTGCTTCTTGTGCAGCTTCCGTCAAAGCCATGTACTCCGCTTCCGTAGATGAAAGAGCCACAGTGCTCTGTTTCTTACTTCTCCAGCTTACACACCCGTTGTTCAATATGAACGTGTACCCGCTTGTGCTTCGTCGAGCTTCCACGTCTCCGGCCCAGTCTGCATCCGAGTAGCCGTGCAGTTTGTCATTGTTTGTTGCTTGATACTCTATTCCATATTCCCTTGTGCCTTGGATGTAACGTAACACCCGCTTAAGAGCTTGCCAATGGGTCGGAAAAGGGTCTGCCGAGAAATGGCTAAGCACTCCCACTGCAGCTGCAAGGTCTGGGCGTGTACCCACCATAAGGTACATCAAGCAGCCGACTGCGTTGCGAAATGGCACATTTGCCATCGTTTCGTCATGCTTGCACCCATCCACGCACATTGACTTTGTCAGCTTGAGTCCTGGTTCTTGTGGAGTTCTGACAGGATTGCTGTTATCCATGCCAAATTTCTCAAGGATGTCCTTTGCAAATTTGGACTGACAAATCGAAATCGTACCAGCTGAACGATCTTGGTTGACTTCCACTCCTAGGAAGTACTTGAGGTCGCCAAGATCCGTCATGTCAAACCGCTCACTTAGCGCATCCTTTGTAGCTCTAATCAGTTCGGCGTTGTTGCTTACGAGGACCAAATCGTCAACGTACAGCGCTACAAAAATCAAGTCTTCTTGATCTCGCTTGAAATAAATGCAATGGTCGGTCTTGCACTTCTTAAAATCCAAGTCCAGCATAAACTTGTCAATGGTCTGGTTCCACATCCGTGGGGACTGCTTCAGACCATATAGAGAGCGCTTTAGCTGGCAAACAAAGTCCGGATGATCTTCATCAACGTATCCATCCGGCTGCGCCATGTAAATATCTTCCTCAAGATGTCCATTTAGAAATGCTGTCTTGACATCCATCTGGTGAATCATGAACGAGTACTTCGCCGCTAAGCTGAGTAAAACTCGGATGGATGTGAACTTGGCCACAGGAGCGAAGGTCTCGTCATAGTCAATGCCATGTTTCTGTAAGAAACCTTTGGCTACCAAACGCGCTTTGAACCGCTCGATTCTTCCATCCTTGGTCTCCTTTACCCGAAATACCCATCGATTACCAATTGCCTTGCGTCCCTGTGGAAGCGGCACGAGATTCCAGGTCTCATTTTGACGAAGGGAATTTATTTCGGAGTCACAAGCCTCTTTCCACTTGACTGCGTCGCTGGATTCCATTGCTGACTTGAATGTCCTTGGTAAATCTCCCACTGAATCCACGACGTAGGCAGTCTCAACAGAGTGACTGGTATCAGCAGTCGCAGACATCTCGGCCATGGTAAGGTATCGAGCTCGACGTTTCGCATCAGGAGCGTTGGCCAAGGCCTCGAGCGACTGTGTGCGTTGGTGTCTCTTAACGCCGGGTTCATCAACGCCATCCATTGTAGCCTCTTCAAAATTCATGTTGCTGGTGTCATGAGAGGATTAGTCCTCCATAGGTACATCCTCATCTTCCATAAAAGCATCTTCTTCGACGACGGCTCCATCTTGCACATAGTCGCGTCTCCCACTGTCGAAAACATTCTCCATGAACTGTGCGTCGCGACTGACCAGTACACGACGACTCTTGATCTCCTCGAAACGGTACGCTTTTTTATGGTCGGAGTATCCAATGAACCGACACTGAATCGATCTTGCATCGAGCTTGGACCGCTTTGGCTTGGGCACATGCACGTATGCATGACAACCGAACACCTTCAGGTTTGCAAGTATAGGTTTCTTACCACTCCATACTTTGTAGGGTGACTTGTCGTGACTTATTGAACGACTTGGACAGCGAAGACGTAGGAAGTTCGCAGTCATGACTGCCTCACCCCAATACGACTTGGATAACTCAGCATGTACCATCATGCAACGAGCGCTTTCCACTAATGTCCGATTCATTCGCTCGGCGACACCGTTCAATTGAGGAGTGTAAGGCGGCGTGAATTTTTGCATGATACCATGGTCCGCACAGAACTTGGACATCGTTCTGGAAGTGTACTCACCACCATTATCGCTTCGAAGAGTCTTCACACGTTTGCCAGTTTGGGTTTCCGCCAACGCAACAAATTGAGCGAACTTGGTCGCTACTTCAGACTTGTTTTGAAGCAGATACACTACACAGTAGTGCGAGTATTCGTTAATGAAAGTCACGAAGTATCGTTTTCCACTGAAGGTAGGAGTTTTCATGGGGCCACACACATCGCTGTGAATGACCTCCAGCAACATACGTGCTCGGTCGGGTGACTTGGGCATATAGCTCACACGTGTTTGTTTTCCAAGTGCGCATCCTTTACAAAACTCCCACTTCTGCACAGACTTCATGCCGATTCCACTGCCGTAATCTTTCTTGACGATGGCGTCTAGACCACCATGACCAATGTGGCCAAGTCGAAGGTGCCAGAGGTAGGAAGTGTTGTCTCCTTTGAAGTTTATTGGACTCGCCACATTGACCTTGTCAGGAAGCACCGGTGTCATACAAAGCTTGAACAATCCCTTTCCTTCTAGAGCGCCTAGTTTCCACTTGAAACCCTTCGTTTCCGCGAAGCAACCATCGACTTCAAAGGTGACAGGCCCCACGTCCTTGATGAATCTTCCAACGGAAAATAAGTTTCGAGATAACTCTGGGTATGCCACACATTTGTGAGCACACCATTCTTGACCCCTTGACGAGTCCTCATTGACATGACAATGTCACCCTTTCCAATCGCTTATACAACTCCATCATCAGCAAGATGCACATCTACTGGTCCAAAGTCCTTGTAGTTCCTCATGAACTCTTTCGAACTTGTCATGTGCTGCGTCGCCCCTGAATCGACCAGCCACATGTAACTCGACTTGGTCTTGCCACCACCAACCGAGAACAGGTAATCGCCAAGCTCCGGTTCTTGCGCGATGTTTGCACGCTGGTACCTGTGTCGATCAGCGTCTTCATGGATGCGCGAGGGGCATTCGGCAATCCAATGTCCTTGCTTTCCACAATTGTGGCACGCACCGGTCTTCTTAGCCGGTCGAGCCTTGCGCTTGTTGTCTCTTGACATGAATGCTTGAGCTTGACCGTGCGCGGCTCCTTCGATTCCGCCACCTTGCTCCTTGCGCTTCATGCCTTCATGCAATAGCCGAGACGTCACTAGTTCCCACGACAGAGAGTCGGCTCTCGACTCCAATGCTGTTATCAGGAACTGGTACGACTCGCTAAGGCTGGCCAGAAGCGTGATGACCAAATCGTCCTCACTGACCGGAGCACCGACTGCGTCCAATTGCTCCGCCAGAGTCTTGAGTCTGTTTGTAACGGGGTGAATCGTTACATAACAATTTATAAGAAATTGTTAATAGAATATAACTATAAGAGTTATATTCTCAGAATATTGTCATAAGGACAATATTCTGTAGCACTTCCAAGTAGTTCCTAATTGGTTGATATAGGCCATTATATCAACCAACGAAGACGCGCCACGACAGACGCACGCAATGAGTGGTGAGCAGATAACTGATTTACACATTTGTATTTAGACATAGTTAGATGAAGATAAATAGTGATTTATTGCAGACATTAACTATTATAAATACAGTTCTACTTTTTACTCTAACCAAGTACTCGCTTCTTCTTACCGTCTTCCTCTGCACGTACGAGTGTACGTGAAGTTACGAGGCACCGCCTTATTCTGTTATCGGAATAAGTAGCTTGTACTGTCACCTGTACAAGCTTCAGGGTGCCCCGTTACACCTGGTAGCACTTCGTAGTCCGTCCAAGGACCGCGTTCACATCCAACATGAATATGTTGGATGATGAAGATGACCAAAGCTTTCACGCTACGCGTGACGGCTACTCCCATTTGAGCGATGTCGAATGGGATGCGGTTGAACGAATGGGTTCGACCATGGGCATCCATGCTGTTAGCGTCATGCTAGAGGCTCTCAATAGAGATGCCCAACATGCTACTATCGCCAAGTTCATTCAAAATGAACTTGACGCAGAACGCGAGAAAGTAGCCTTGCTTCACCAACAAGGTTCTCAACAAGCAGAGTTGTTGAGAGAACAAGGTGCTCAACAGTTTGAACTGTTGAGACAGCAGCAGGCTGCTGCTGGCGGGTCGATGCACTCGCGTCGGCCCGAGACTTTGAAGATTGACATCTCAAAGTATAGGGGGTCGAAGAAGACTCCCTCTTGAGATGGTTCGTCGAATTGGATGACGCCATAAGGGCGCGTCGCATCGACGACGGGGATATGCAAGTTGCATTTGCCCAGTCAAATCTGGCAGGACGTGCCAAGACTTGGGCACTGGGGCTCAAGCTGCACGACCCATACGCGTTTGGGTCGTTGGAAGTCTTCAAGTCGCGGCTCAGACAAACGTTTGAACCGCCTAGAGCTGAGTTCAGAGCTTGAACCGAACTCTTGAAGCTCAAGCAGGGTAAGCGTGATGTGCACGCTTACGCTCAACATATACGACATCTCACGAGTTGTATAAGTTCCAATCCGGTGGATGAACACACGTTGGTTTCGGTGTTCATGCAGGGTCTTGCGGATGGTCCCGTCAAGACTCACCTGTTCCGGCTTGAACTAGATTCACTAGAACAAGCCATTTCAATTGCGGAGCAGGAAGACTTCAGTCTGAGACAGGCTCGCGCCAGCTCGACATCATATCGTCAACCGAGACGATATGACAACGGAGGTCCAGAGCCGATGGAACTCTGTTATGTAGAGAGCGAGAAGGCTCGCTCTACAGGCTACAAGAAGTTGCAGAGATGCAACAGATGTCAAAAGACAGGACACTACGCTTACGAGTGTAGTGCCCCTCGTCCAGTGTCTCGCGACACTGGGCGTAGTGACCGTCCACCCATGAGAAAGGGGCAGGGACGAGGGTCCGCAGTTGGTGCAAAGACGCAACAACGGGATGGACCGTCAAAAAACGGACAGGATCAGTAGGTGCGGAGCACCCTACTGATCCAGCAACGTCAAGAGAATTTGTAGGCCTCTTGATGAAGGTTGCTCCCAACACACAGACATTGTGCGTTGCTGCTCTAGGTAATGAGATCTCACTCATTACCTTGAAACTCGAAGTGACAAATAAGTTGTCCCTTCGAGCTCTAGTCGATTGTGGGGCGTCCAACAATTTTGTGCGACGCCAATCGCTAGAAGATGGTCACTTTAAATTCAGTGAATGTGACACACCTCCTACGAGGATGACGGTACGTCTTGCGACAGGCGCATCCGTAACCGTCATGAAGCGTATAGTGAAGATTCACTATACGCTAGAAGATACCCAATATGACGATGACTTTATCGTATTGGATTTGGATGACAAATTTGATGTCATCCTTGGAATACCGTGGCTCAGAAGGTACGAACCACGGGTAAACTGGCAACATCGGACAGTAACGATGCCTGCCGCTTGTTCATCAGATGGCCATCTGATGAACGTTTTGGAGAGTCCACAAGCGTGTGGATGTACTACGAGTGAGTGCGATGGCCTCACTTGTGGTACGGTCGTTAGTACGACTGCACAAAACCCTAGTGTACCAAACGGTTACACTTCGGAGCAAAGTTCCGGCGGCTGTGAGGAAACACAGGCTGCGCCGAAGGTCCACCACTCGAATAAGTCGGGTGGACTGGGACAAAGATGTATCCCTAGAGGGGAACATCTAGAAGAGAAACAATCGATCGCTCAGGTTAAGCGAAACGATAATCCTAGATCGACTGGAGAGTCTTTCGTAGAGGATCTCGCTGCGGTTGCGCAACCCCAGCTAGAGGAAGTAAAGGGAATAAGTCCCAAGATTACAAATACGGCGGAAATAAGTTCCCCGAAACCCGCGGGAATAAGTCCCCGGGAAGACGAAGGAATAAGTCCTTCGAAGCCTGAGGGAAGTCCCCAGGAAATGACAGAGACATTGAATGTCATAGTCAATAACGGATCATGTGTAGGCGCTTATACACTTGATCTGATTGCGCCTCCGAAGTTAACTTCGGAGATCACTCAGTTGCCAACGCTCGAACATAAAAGATTCTTGCGTGATCGGCGTAGTGGCAAAGTCAAGCAGATCTGCATACTCGTCGCTGAAGACGAGTATGTAACCGACATAAGGTCAGCAACAGTGTTTACTGAGAACGAGAGAGTTCTCAGTAGTTCATCTATGGACGAGAGTGTCCTAGATGAAAAGACACGAATTGAGCGATATGACTCCCAATCGTGGGAATCGCTCAAGGAAAATCCTCTCTATGAAGATTTGGTTGAATTCAAGGATGTATTCCCTGAAACTGTTCCGTGCGAATTACCGAAGGATAAAGGTATTCGACACGAGGTCGAGCTTAAACCAGGCTCGAAGTACTGTGTCATGAAGCAGTGGCCACTGCCTCGTGAACAAGTACTTGCGATCGACAAGTTCTTTGCCGATCGTTTAGCAGCGGGCCATGTGAGGGAATCAACTTCCCCACATAGCTCTCCGACCTTCTGTGTGCGAAAAGCAACAGGAGGGTGGCGGATAGTGCACGCGTTTAACAAATTGAACGCTGCAACGGTACCGGCTCAGACGCCGATACCGAGGAAGGACGTAATCATTGATGGTATGTCAAAGAGTACCATCTTTTCGTCCATGGATTTGATGGATGGCTTCTATCAAATCCTAATGCGGGAACGGGATATACCCTATACCGCAGTTAGCACGCCTAGCGGCATGCTCTGGGAATGGCTAGTAATGCCACAAGGGCTCAGTAATGCCCCTGCCACGTTCAACAGGTGTGTATCACATCTGTTGAGGCCAGTACGAGAATTCGCGCCGAGTTATTTCGATGACGTATTCATCCATAGTCGAGCTATGGATGGAAAGTCGGACGTTGAGGTTCACAAGTACCACGTCCGACAAGTTCTTACAATCATGCGAAAGCATCAATTGTATGCAAACCTCAAGAAGTGTATATTTGCAGCAAGCGAAATACCACTTCTTGGGTGCATCGTTGGTAAGAACGGTGTACGTCCTGATCCCGAAAAGATCAAGGCGATCACCGACTGGCCTGTGCCGGTCGATGTCAAAGGTCTTCGAAAATTACTTGGGCTAGCGGCGTATTTGCATAAGTATTCACGCAATTACGCCGAGATGACTGTACACCTCTCTCGTTTGTTGAAAAAGAACGAGAGGTGGTTATGGAACGCTGAATGTCAACGCTCCTTTGACGGTATCAAGCAGAGCTTGATACAATCCCCAGTCCTAGCAATAGCGTATCAGGACAGGCCATTTCATGTGGTCTGTGATGCCAGCGATTTCGCAATCGGCTGTGCATTAATGCAGTACGACCTTGAAGGCGTTGAACGCGTCGTCTGCTATCAGTCGCGTCAGCTGCAACCAGCTGAGCGGAACTATCCAGTGCATGACAAGGAACTCCTTGCCATGAAGTATGCACTCGCGAAGTTCAGAGTCTATCTATTAGGAGATAGACCCTTCGTTGTTTACACTGACCATGCGTCCTTACGCACGGCAGTGAACAGCCCGCACCTTTCACAACGAATGGCGCGGTGGTTGTCATTCTTTGCAGAATACAACTTTACGGTCGAGTACAAACCAGGACGACTTAATGTCGTCGCTGATGCACTCTCACGTCGTCCCGACTTTGAAACAGTCGCGAAACCCAACAGTGAGACAGTCACTGTTGCGGTTATGACGTCCTCAGTTCCATCTACAACGTTGTATGATGATGTGAGGCGGGCATACGCCCAAGATGGTGAGATAGTGAAGTTGTTGTCACATCTCTCCCAACCATCTCGAGAATCGTTGAAACGATTGTCGTCTGCGTATCGATCTGCATCAGATCGATACACTACTCGTAACGGTTTACTGTACTATACAGCCGTTTCTGGTGACACACCACGTGTTGTCATTCCAGATGATACTGATCTGCGTTTGCGGATCATGTTCGAGTATCACGATGCTCCTATAGGAGGACATCGTGGCCGAGAGAAAACATATCTCACGGTAAGTCGAGACTTTTACTGGCCCCGCCAGTATCAGTTTGTGCGAAAGTATGTTCGCGCATGCGAAGTCTGCCAACGAGTGAAGTCAAGTCCTTCACTGCCTGCACCTTTACAGCCTCTACCGGTTCCGGCTGAGTGCTGGGAATCCATCTCAATGGATTTCGTCTTCGGGTTACCCAAAGACGCACGCGGGAATACGGGTATTCTCGTATTTGTTGACAGATTCAGCAAAATGGTACACCTTGTGGCTGTACCAGAGACAATCACGGCAAGTGGCTGTGCTTGTGTCTTTATTGACACCATCTTCCGACTTCATGGGTTGCCCCGTGAACTCGTATCAGACAGAGATCCACGATTCACTGCTGATTTCTGGCGTTCCGTGTTCAAATCACTCGGAACGCGCTTGAAGATGTCAACATCTGATCATCCAGAGTCAGATGGTCAGACGGAACGTGCCAATCGTGTCCTTGAAGAGATACTTCGAGGATACGTACACTCCTTTAAGAGTTGGAGTGAGTTTTTGCCGATGGTAGAGTTTGCCATCAACAACTCGGTGCATGCGTCCACGACACATACACCGTTTTACGTGAATGGCTTGCGCCATCCGCGTGTACCCACCTTACTAGAGTGTAACTCTGGTTTAAGGGGGAGGGACTCGCGCGAGCAAAAACCGATTTGGTTCACGCTCATCACGCTCTGACGAAGAAGTCATTGCGTTTGATGCCGATATCGATAACATCGATATCGAAGAAGATGATGCCAGTGAGAGTGCGGAAGCCCTCACTGAAGACAATGATCCCAGTGAGAGTGCGGAAGCCCTCACTGAAGAAAAGGTTGTTGTCGCTGCAGTGCGCTCACAGCACACTGAAGCTAACGAGTCATCAGATGAGTTCATACTGGCTCGTGAAACGGTAGTCCGTTTTGTGCAAGACTCCATCGCCGAAGCGGTGGATAAGCAAAAGCAAAACGCTGACAAGAATGGAAGGGCAAACACTCTTTTATTTAATAAAGGTGACTTAGTCCTACTGTCTACGGTTAATCTACCAAAACATGTAGTGACTAACTTGGGTAGCAGTAAACTACTACCCAAGTACATTGGCCCATTTCGTGTATTGCACCGCCTAGGCAATGCATACACGATCGAGTTACCACGTAAGATGCGAACGCATCCCACGTTTTACGTTGGTCGGCTTAAGCCGTACCATCAGTACGCTGCTTCTTCCGATGAAGAACGCCCTTGCGCTCAAGCATCTCGCAGAGAGCCTTGTGCTCCCGATGGTGGGCATCAACAAGGGTCTGAAGAGCAGTTATCTCAGCCCGAGACCGATCAACAATCCCATGAGCTACCCTTAGCTCGTCACGAAGAGATGTCAGAGATCTCTCGTTCTCAAGCTGAGCAAAGGCAAACTCAGCTCGATGCTTCGAGGCAGTGTCCACCATCTGGAGACGCCTATTCCGCTCATGCTCGAGATCGTCGCGTAACCCTTGCGTTACGCGATCAAAGAAGCTCTCGGGAACACACCGATCCACATGATCGTGTGGAGAGCGTCTTTCCTCCTCCTCCACCTCCATTAGAGGACTCTCGCGGTGGCCAGCGCTATCTAGTAGAGCAGCTGTTGAACCACCGCGACGTGAACGGACGTCGGACGAGTTACCTCGTCCGGTGGCGCAGCTATCCCCCGTCCTGGGATTCTTGGGAGCCCCGCTCCCAACTGATGGTTGACGTACTGGGTCTGGTCGAGCAGTACGACGCGACACATCCTGTGCCGCAGAAGGACCGCCGGAGAAAGTCTTCCCGGCACGGTCGTAAAGGGATTTCAGGTTGTCAATCCCTTCGTACATCTCAGTAGAGACACGTACGCGCCACCACGGGCTGGTAAGGAGGTAAGCCTCCTTAGGTGCTCGTGCAGAGTTGTTCACACAACATGGGCACGAGTCTCCCCAAGAGAGGCAGGGTAATCCTTTCTCCCTTGACAGACGATGCAGCTTATAGCGTGCACCTGTCGGGGTTCGCTTTTCAAACTTATCACGAGCTTTGATAAGTTTGTCGTTCCAAGCGTCACGACCTACATCCTCGAGGTTATGGATGTAGGCGTTCCACGCCTGAAGTAGTGAGGGACCATCACGTTTGTGATTCCCACTGTACCATCGATGTCTAGAAGAAAGCATCGATGAAGAACTCATGTTCAGCGCGATAGTCTTTCGCGCTGGGGTCAAGGTGATGAATCCTCGACGAATCGAACAATCGTGTTCGATAACGATCACTCGTCGTCGCCGACAAGTGATCCATGACAGATTTAGGAGGCATCCATGCCTTCTTTTCTGGAGCGAGACGCAACACATTGCGGTCCCGCTCTTCCTGCGACGTGCCGACAGAAGTACTGGCACCTCGCTGTGAAGTGGTGTCCATTGGAGAAACGACACCACTATTAGCGCCCGAGTCTCGCGACCTCGAGCGCCTTCGCTTCGGCGATGGTTCATCTGACTCATCAGATGAACCAAAGATGCTGCGACGCAAAGCATCGTCCATGCCACGCTTGGCAGGCGGCTTGGATTCAATTGCCGTCGATACGGATCCGTCATCCGTATCAGGAGAGTACGAGACACCGAGCTCGTACTCTGTGAAGACACGAGTGTCTTCATGACCAGCGCCTGCATCACCAGGTGATACAGGCTGAGTCGATTCAGCAACCGATGGGACATCAGTTGCTGTAGTTTCTGCTTCGGCGTCCGCACAGAGACGTGCAGACGCGCTCTCGGCGGCCTTGCTCGCGCATCGCATGGGCTTGTTTACCATGCGATGAGATGTTGGAAAGTGGACGCGGACCAACAAGTGCAAACCCCGTCCCAAATGATTTGGGACGAGTATCCATTTAGTCAATCAGTCACTAAAGTGACTGATGGTTAAGGGGGGTGATGTAACGGGGTGAATCGTTACATAACAATTTATAAGAAATTGTTAATAGAATATAACTATAAGAGTTATATTCTCAGAATATTGTCATAAGGACAATATTCTGTAGCACTTCCAAGTAGTTCCTAATTGGTTGATATAGGCCATTATATCAACCAACGAAGACGCGCCACGACAGACGCACGCAATGAGTGGTGAGCAGATAACTGATTTACACATTTGTATTTAGACATAGTTAGATGAAGATAAATAGTGATTTATTGCAGACATTAACTATGATAAATACAGTTCTACTTTTTACTCTAACCAAGTACTCGCTTCTTCTTACCGTCTTCCTCTGCACGTACGAGTGTACGTGAAGTTACGAGGCACCGCCTTATTCTGTTATCGGAATAAGTAGCTTGTACTGTCACCAGTACAAGCTTCAGGGTGCCCCGTTACACTGTTGATGTGCTCCAGCACGTCATCACCTTCTCCCATCATTGTCGTGAAGAACCGGCGACGAAGGAAGAGCTTATTAGCCAAGCTTTTCTTCTCGTAGTGTCCTTCCAGACTTGACCATGCATCATACGCGTCCTTCGCCGAGCGAACCAGTGGCAACTGCGAATCCTCCATCGCAAGACATATTATCGCTAGCGCCTTTCGCGACTTTCGCTTGAACGTCGCTTGGTCCAAAGTACTTGTACAGTGCTCGATCTTGACCTCGCCGCTCACGACGTCCCACAGGTCTCGCTCCTCCAGCACCATTTGCATCTTGAACTTCCACACATGGAAGTTTGTTCCGGAGAACTTGTTAATGCGAGCGGCGGTAAACAGAGACGAGTCCATGGCGAAGGCGTGATCGAGGTCTTTGTCAGAGTCTGCGAAGCTTGGGCTCATAACCTAAAGGAAGTGATCGAAGTTTTGCAAAATGCACAGTGAATATATTTAGGTCCTTAGTTCACAACCTCCTGTTGCTACTCTAAGCCTACTGAATTCTTTCTGACTCTACGTTAGTAATCGTCTAGTCGTACATTACTAATCGTCTCGTCGTACGTTTCTAACTCAGATAGTGTGTTTCTAACAAACACCGTAACTTACTAAGATGGGGGACGTCACTGTCTGGCAGGACAGTGCTGGTGAACCCCGGCACACCAGTACCCGAAGGTTTTAACTTTTTGTTGCAGTCACTGGATATCGAACCAGTGACCTCTCGCATGGTGCTGCCACACCAAACCACTTGAGCTACAGGTTCTTGTGCGAATACGCATGCCGAGGCGCATTTGTGACAACAGGGAGAACCCCTTTTTTGGGGGAATGGCGGGGGAGTCCCTTTTATATAGGTGCGGGTGTTGACTGGGGATGGCGGCTGCAGCAAGAAATGAAATGTAAACAAAGCCGATTGCACCATTTTTTCCACTTAAAAAATCCTCAAAATCTCTGTCCCTGCCCAAAGTAATAACCTATGTAAAGCAATACCATGACCTTGGGGGCTAGCGATATTTCTTTGGACAGGTTCTACTGTAATTAGTTTAAACTGATTCGCATGGTAAATTTCAGTATATTAAAGATTGATGGATGGTACATCAATCTGTCATCAAGGGATGACTGAGGTTATCGTCCAAAACAATTGTCATCGGGATTGTATACCACAGATGCACGATCTAATTTCGATAATAAGGCGGAAACCGTCGTGTGACCCCGTTGCAATAGGCGACCAACACTGGCTGTAAGTGCCAGAAAGAAGCTTTATTTTGAGATGATTAGCCAATCAAGCTGTAATGAATGATCTTGTCTTTTGCATTTGTGCTGAAAAGACACACCTTTTAAAATAAAGGAAGAACCTCAAATAGATATCATGTAAGGAATCCCCCCGTTTCAACTCCATAATAGCGCCGCTTGTATTTTAACACACACATCTCTTTCATTTGTAAGGAATACGTATCCACTACATATTCTGGTCCAATGCGATCGGAACGCCAATCGAGATGCTATTTCTCACGTCGCTAGCATCTCTTTCTTTACCAGCATCAATCTATTGTGATGTAGTTCCCATCGTGTGCGGTCGCGCACGGTTGCATTGACAAGTTGACGCGAATGGCGTGACCCTCAGATTGCCAATGTACCGCGTGTCTTTTCATTGCTATTTCGAGCAAAGCAGCTAATGGCAAAGCGAACATGCACTGTGAGGTAGTTAGTACCTATAGAACCCCCGCATTCTGTTCGAGCAGAAAAGAACAGAGGTCTTGCTTGACCAGGACATGGGCAAAATCATCCGTGGTCTAGCTAGGTCGCTGTGTAAAATGCCGTCGAGGAACTAAGTGGCTCACATCCACAGAGCAGACGATGATTAGTGCTGATGAGAGGGCACATGCCACACTTACTTGCTGCAAGTGAGGCTGGCTAGAATAGTAGGACTAGCCACGTAAGACTTTGCCTTGGGAACGGGTCTTTGGAGCTATCCAGTCCTGAGTGACGACGATACGATCGACGAGGTGGCCACACTAACCGCTACAAGAACAGTCCTCGTGCTCGTTCTCCACACTCAATCGTCGAAAGCTGGTCCCGTCTGGTCGGGCATTACTCTCAGTCAGGCCTTTCAACCGCCAGTAGCTCATCAAAGTCCGCGACATCTCTCCTTCCTCTATGGTGACGTGGAAGAGCGCAGACAAAGAGCGCGTAAGCAGCCTCTTTGCCGAAGTCGTAGCCAGCTCCAAGTCCCTCGTGAGCGGCTTTCTATCGGTGGACGACGACGCCAACTCGGCTTCCGTCAAGTTGGTCTGGAGCAAGAAGGATCTCGTTCACAACGTGACGCACAAGTACCAGGTGCAGCATTTCGTGCCTGACCTCACACAGACGCAGGTCCTCGTCACGGGATTCCCCACCAATTACACGAGCGACTACACGAGTGTCTCGCCCTCGACCAAACGAGTAGTGACTCTCGATTGCAAGAATCAACGAGGCGAGGCGACATCCGAAGGGGTTTTCAAAGGTAGAAGATACTTGACACAAGTTGGTCCGCTCGATTGTCTCTTCTCACCCTAATTGACCACTTTATGTTTGTTTGTGTGGTTTTCACGCATAGTCTTTGCAGGCAATCAGCTGAAGTGGACGTTCCAAGCTCCCAAAACACTTCATGGGGCTATATATCTAGGAGAACGGGAAGGTGGCATTGTCTGGTCTCACGACGAAGAGACGATCGCATACGTTGCTGAGAAAAAATCTGCCGATTGTCCTGCGTTCTGGAACCAGGGGAACGCTCCAGAAGGAGAGAAGGACGAGGTGGACTCAGCCAGAAGAGGGGTCAAGTTCGAGTACGAAGACGATTGGGGTGAACAGTACGAAGGCAAGAAAACTGCATCGATCTTTCTGGCTACGTTGGCAACTGGCAAAATTCGAGAGGTCAAGGGTGTGCCGGAGAATGTGACGTGTGCAGACGTGGCTTTCGTCCCTGGTGATAACGAGCTGGTGTTTACCGGGACCAGGACCGACAACCCGAAGCGACTTGGCATCATCTACTGCTACAATCGACCTTCCGCTCTGTACCACGTGGTTTTAAACAGAGAAGATCTGCAAGCCAAGAGCGCCGTGCAGAAGCTGGAGCTGATTCCGCAGGATGAAGAAAGCGAGACTATTGAGACCATGAGAAATCCGCGTTTATCTCCTGACGGCAAGCAGCTTGCTTTCCTCGCTACTCGAGACGTTGCCACTCACGGCACCTGCAGCTTTCTATGCGTGATGCATTGGGCTACTAAGCACACGTCGACGTTGATTCCCGTCAAGGATGAGCCTGATGCGTCTGGCACCGATGTCACCAAGGTTTTTAACGGACTATTCGATGGCAAATTGAGTCAAAAAGCTTGGTCACCTGATGGCAAATACATCTATGTGGGGACACGAGTGGGCTCTCGTGTACTCTGGAAGTACGTTGATGTGAGCACGAAGATTCTGATTTCCCCAGAGTATGTTGATGGCTTCGAAGTCGCCGTTGAATCAGTGCTGGATCGCAAGGGAAACCGCTTCCTGGTGGTGGTATCGTCCCCCACGCGCCCTGCGAGCATCTTCCTTGTCCAAATTGACCCGGTAACAGGGATGCACATGTGCTCACCTATTACCATTGACGATCAGCAAGAAAGTGCAAAGTATATCGGGCGCTGGGAAGTGCACTCGATTTCAGCGTCCGTGTCTGACGAAGCAGCCGCAGAGAAGACGCTCCCTGTGATACCTGTAGAGCTGGACGACCTCCTTATTCCGTCGGTTTCTAGCTCAAGTGACTATGAAGCAACTGTGATGCTGCCAAGTAGCTCTCCACCATCTGATGGTTATCCCGTTATCCTCGAGCTTCATGGTGGACCGCATAGCAATGCGAGCGTCATGTATCGAGACATGTGCGAATTCTGGGCTGCCCTGGGTTTCGCGATTGTTACCGTGAACTATCGAGGCAGCACTGGATATGGAATCAAGGCGCTGGAATCCCTCATTGGAAAGGTAGGAACGCAGGATGTGTACGACTGCCACTACGGCCTGAAGTATCTTTTGGAGGAGAGCTCAAGCCTCGGGCTTTCGTTGGACAAGACTCGCGTGCACTGCTCTGGTGGCAGCCACGGCGGGTTTCTCGTCACACACCTCATTGCCCAGTTCCCGGGCTTTTACAAATCCATGGTAACCCGCAACCCTGTAACGAACATGTCGAGCATGTTCTACACTTCCGACATCCAAGAGTGGAGTCTCGCATGTGCAGGCATTCAGCGATTTGAAAGCATCTATACATCGCAGAAGCTATACAACTGCAAGGACGAACTTCCAGTTCTGACTCCGGAAGCACGTTTGGCCATTCTCAGCAAACTGTGGCAGCACTCGCCTGTGAGTTGCGATCTGAGTAAGGTAACGACACCTGCGCTATTTGGACTTGGTGGAAAGGATAGGCGTGTGCCTCCCAGCCAAGGTTTGGAGTACCGTGCTATTCTTGCGAGCTACAATGTTCCTACACGTCTTCTATGGTATCCCGATGACTGCCACCCGTTGGGATCCGAGGAGGCTTTTGGCGATTTCTCGGTCAACTGGGGGCTTTGGCTGCTGAAGTATAACTCCAAGTAAGCTGTTACTGTGCACGGTGAGTCCACCTCGTACATGTAGTGCAGCATATGTAGGCCAGACGGTTAATCGGTCTTCACAACCTACAAATATGAGCTAAGGCGAGGTAATGGATGTGGCTACTATATCCGGTGTCTAAAGTTGTCGAGGTACATCAACATCGTATAGTGGAAGTAAATAGGTTGATTTGGTGAAGGTAAGCGACTGCATTTGTTGGCCTATAGCAATTGCAGCGAAGTGTAAAATATTGGAGTCAAGAAGTTATTTTGTAATGCCGAAAGTGTCACGGGGTCGCGGTGTCGGCATTTGTTTCTTGTACGTTCATGTCGCTTCGGCATGTTTGACCAATCCGAGCGTATCTTTGGTCCTATGTATTGCTGATTGCGAGCCCGAGAGTGAAGCGATCAGTGACTGTCCGCAAGGTTGAATGCCGAGCCTTTAAATGGTACTGATCTGTGTCTGTCTGCCTGTCTTTGAATGCTCAGGGTCATCATTCATTCTTTTATACTTGACATTTCTTTGCTCGGCGTGGCCGTACACTTTTGACCGGGTGCCAAGAGCGGTTTTTTGAATGTGGGCAATGCCACCAACGCAAAAAACGGGGACGTTAACACATGAGGAGTATGTAATAAAGCTTTGCGCACAGCATACTCGAAAACAGCGCCCAATTTGTACTAGTTAGTAAATTATGAGTGAAAATAGGGGTGGCTTTATGGCTTGGACTGCATACTGTACTGTGTTAATACACACATTATCAGCATCGTACTCATTCTTCAGTGTCTGCTGTTGTATAGTATTTTGCAACTTGGTGCAGTTCTCCGAACAGAATTACTCATATCAAAGGGCGAGCTCCACAGCTTGCTCCACAATCTTTTATCTAAGTCAAGGACGGCATCTTGCTTGTCGCTAAAAGAACAAGTATAACAGTGAGAATGTTACGGGGCACCCTGAAGCTTGTACTGATGACAGTACAAGCTACTTATTCTGATGACAGAATGAGGCGGTGCCGCGTAACTTCACGTACACTGGTACGTGCAGAGGAAGACGGTATGAAGAAGCGAGTACTTAGTTAAAGTAAAAAGTAGAACTGTATTTATCATAGTTAATTTCTGTTAATAAACCACTGTTTATCCTCATCTAACTATGTCTAAATGCAAATGTGCATATCAACTATCTGCTCACCACTCATTGCGTGCGTCTGTCGTGGCGCTTCTTCGTTGGTTGATATAATGGCCTATATCGACTAAATTGGAACTACTCGTAAGTGCTACAGAATGTTTGTCCTTATGACAATATTCTGAGAATATAACGCTTATAGTTATATTCTATTAACAATTTCTTTCAAATTGTTATGTAACGATTCACCCCGTTACATCACCCCCCTTAACCATCAGTCACTTTAGTGACTGATTGACTAAATGGATACTCGTCCCAAATCATTTGGGACAGGGTTTGCACTTGTTGGTCCGAGTCCACATTCCATCAGTTTCATCGCGTGGTTAACAAGTACATGCGGTGCGCGAACAAGGCCGCTGAGAGCCCGTCTGTACGTCTCTATGCAGACGCCGAAGCATTAACCGCTGCAACCGATGTGTCATCGGTTGCTAGAGCGTCTCAGCCTGTATCACCTGGTAATGCAGGCGCTAGTCATGAAGACACTCATGTCTTCACAGAGTATGAGCTCGGTGTCTCATACTCTCCTGATACGGAAGAGGGATCTGTATCGAAGGCGGTTGGAACCAAGCCGCCTGCCAAGCGTGGCATGGATGATGCTACGCGTCGTAGAATCTTTGGTTCTTCTGACGAATCAGATGAACCATAGCGAAAGCGAAGGCGCTCGAGATCGCAAGACTCGGGCGCTCACAGTGGTGTCGGTTCTCCTCTTGACACCACTTCGCAGCGAGGTACCAGTACTTCTGTCGGCAAGTCGCAGGAAGAGCGGGCCGCAACGTGTTGCGTCTCGCTCCCGAAAAGAAGGCACGGATGCCTCCAAAGTCAGTCATGGATCGCTTGTCGGCGACGACAAGTGATCGCTATCGAACACGATTGTTCGATTCATCAAGGATCCATCACCTTGACCCCAGTGCGAAAGACTATCACACTGAGCATGAATTCTTCATCGATGTTTTCTTTTAAACATCGATGGTACAGTGGGAATCACAAACGTGATGGTCCCTCACTGCTTCAAGCGTGGAACGCTTACATCCATAACCTTGAGGATGTAGGTCGTGACGCTTGGAACGACAAACTTATCAAAGCTCGTGATAAGTTTGAGAAAAGAACCCCGACAGGTGCACGCTATAAGCTGCATCGTCTGTCTAAGGAGGGTGGGTTACCCTGTCTTGCCTGGGAAGACCCGTGCCCTTGTTGTGTGAACAACTCAGCGCGCGCACCTAAGGAGGCTTACCTCCTTAATAGCCCGTGGTGGCGCGTACGTATCTCTCGTGAGATGTACGAAGGGATTGACAACTTGAAATCCCTTTATGACCGTGCCGGGAAGACTTTCTCCGGCGGTCTTTATGTGGCACAGGATGTGCCGCGTCGTACTGCTCAACCAGACCCAGTACGTCAATCATCAGTTGGGAGCGGGGCTCCCAAGTATCCCAGGACGGGGGATAACTGCGCCACCAGACGAGATAACTCGTCCGACGTCCGTTCACGTCGCGGTGGTTCAACAGCTGCTCAACCAGATAGCGCTGGCCACCGCGAGAGTCCTCTAATGGAGGTGGAGGAGGAGGGAAGACGCTATCCACACAATTGTGGGGAAGCGTGTGTTCCCGAGAGCTTCTTTGATCGCGTAACGCAAACGTTACGCGGCGATCTTGAACATGAGCGGGACAGGCGTCTCCAACTGGCGGACACTGTCTCGAGGCATCGAGCTGAGTTTGCCTTTGCTCAGCTTGAGAACGAGAGAGCTTTGACATATCTGCGTGACGAGCTAAGGGTAGCTGGTGGGATTGTCGATCGGTCTCGGGCTGAGATAACTGCTCTTCAGACCCTTGTCGATGCCCACCATCGGGAGCACAAGGTTCTCTGCGAGATGCTTGAGCGCAAGGGAGTTCTTCATCGGAAGAAGCAGCGTACTGATGGTACGGATTAAGCCGACCAACGTAAAACGTGGGATGCGTTCGCATATTACGTGGCAGTTCGATCGTGTATGCGTTTCCTAGGCGATGCAATACACGAAATGGGCCAATGTACTTGGGTAGTAGTTTACTACTACCCGAGTTAGTCACTACATGCTTTGGCAGATTAACCGTAGACAGTAGGACTAAGTCACCTTTATTAAATAAAAGAGTGTTTGCCCTTCCATTCTTGTCAGCGTTTTGCTTTTGCTTATCCACCGCTTCGGCGATGGAGTCTTGCACAAAACGGACTACCGTTTCACGAGCCAGTATGAACTCATCTGATGACTCGTTAGCTTCAGTGCGCTGTGAGCGCACTGCCGTGACATCAACCTTTTCTTCAGTGAGGGCTTCCTCGCTCTCACTGGCATCGTCTTCTTTGATATCGATGTTGTCGATATCGGCATCAAACGCAATGACTTCTTCGTCAGAGCGTGATGAGCGTGAACCAAATCGGTTTTGCTCGCGCGAGTCCCTCCCCCCCTTAAACCAGAGTTACACTCTAGTAAGGTGGGTACACGCGGATGGCGTAAGCCATTCATGTAAAACGGTGTATGTGTCGTGGACACATGCACCGAGTTGTTAATGGCAAACTCTACCATTGGCAAGAACACACTCCAGCTTTTAAAGGAGTGTACGTATCCTCGAAGTATCTCTTCGAGGGCACGATTGGCTCGTTCCGTCTGACCATCTGATTCTGGTTGATCAGATGTCGACATCGTCAAGCGCGTTCCGAGTGATTTGAACACGGAACGCCAGAAATTAGCTGTGAAGCGTGGATCTCTGTCTGATACGAGTTCACGGGGAAACCCATGAAGTCGGAAGACGGTGTCGATAAAGACACAAGCACAGCCATTTGCTGTGATTGACTCGGGTACAGCCACAAGGTGTAACGTTTTGCTGAATCTGTCAAAAAATACGAGAATACCCGTATTCCCGCGTGCGTCTTTGGGTAACCCGAAGACGAAATCCATTGATATGGATTCCCAGCACTCAGCCGGAACCGGTAGAGGCTGTAAAGGTGCACGCAGTGAAGGACTTGACTTCACTCGTTGACAGACTTCGCATGCGCGAACATACTTTCGCACAAACTGATACTGGCGGGGCCAGTAAAAGTCTCTACTCACCGTGAGATATGTTTTCTCCCGGCCACGATGTCCTCCTATAGGAGCATCGTGATACTCGAACATGATCCGCAAACGCAGATCAGTATCATCTGGAATGACAACACGTGGTGTGTCACCAGAAACGGCTGTATAATACAGTAACCCGTTACGAGTAGTGTATCGATCTGATGCAGATCGATACGCAGACGACAATCGTTTCAACGATTCTCGAGATGGCTGTGAGAGATGTGTCAACAACTTCACTATCTCACCATCTTGGGCGTATGCCCGCCTCACATCATCATACAACGTTGTAGATGGGACTGAGGACGTCATAACCGCAACAGTGACTGTCTCACTGTTGGGTTTCACGACTGATTCAAAGTCGGGCCGACGTGAGAGCGCATCAGCGACGACATTAAGTCGTCCTGGTTTGTACTCTACCGTAAAGTTGAATTCTGCAAAGAATAACAACCACCGCGCCATTCGTTGTGAAAGGTGCGGGCTGTTCACTGCCGTGCATAATGACGCATGGTCAGTGTAAAAAATGTAGGGTCTATCTCTTAATAGATAGACTCTGAACTTCGCGAGTGCATACTTCATGACAAGGATTTCCTTGTCATGCGCTGGATAGTTCCGCTCAGCTTGTTGCAACTGACGCGACTGATAGCAGACGACGCGTTCAACGCCTTCAAGATCGTACTGCATTTTTGCACAGCCGATTGCGAAATCGCTGGCATCACAGACCACATGGAATGGCCTGTCCTGATCGGAAATTGCTAGGACTGGGGATTTTATCAAGCTCTGCTTGATACCATCAAAGGAGCGCTGACATTCAGCGTCCCATAACCACCTCTCGTTCTTTTTCAACAAACGAGAGAGGTGCACAGTCATCTCGGCGTAATTGCGTGAATACTTATGCAAATAAGCCGCTAGCCCAAGAAATTTTCGAAGACCTTTGACATCAACTGGCACAGGCCAGTCGGTAATCGCCTTGATCTATTTCGGGATCAGGACGTACACCGTTCTTACCAACGATGCACCCAAGAAGTGGTATTTCGCTTGCTGCAAATTTACACTTCTTGAGGTTTGCATACAATTGATGCTTTCGCATGATTGTAAGAACCTGTCGGACGTGGTATCTGTGAACCTCAATATCCGACTTTCCATCCATAGCCCGACTATGAATGAATACGTCATCGAAATAACTCGGCGCGAATTCTCGTACTGGTATTAACAGATGTGATACGCATCTGTTGAACGTGGCAGGGGCATTACTAAGCCCTTGTGGCATTACTAGCCATTCCCAGAGCATGCCGCTAGGCGTGCTAACTGCGGTATAGGGTATGTCCCGTTCTCGCATAAGGATTTGATAGAAGCCATCCATCAAATTCCATGGACGAAAAGATGGTACGCTTTGACATACCATCAATGATTACGTCCTTCCTTGGTATCGGCGTCTGAGCCGGTACCGTTGCAGCGGTCAACTTGTTGAATGCATGCACAATCCGCCACCCTCCTGTTGCTTTTCGCACACAGAATGTCGGAGAGCTATGTGGGGAAGTTGATTCCCTCACATGGCCCGCAGCTAAACGATCGGCAAAGAACTTGTCGATCGCGAGTACTTGTTCACGAGGAAGTGGCCACTGCTTCATGACACAGTACTTCGAGCCTGGTTTAAGCTCGACCTCGTGTCGAGTACCTTTATCCTTCGGTAATTCGCACGGAACAGTTTCAGGGAATACATCCTTGAATTCAACCAAATCTTCATAGAGAGGATTTTCCTTGAGCGATTCCCACGATTGGGAGTCATATCGCTCAATTCGTGTCTTTTCATCTAGGACACTCTCGTCCATAGATGAACTACTGAGAACTCTCTCGTTCTCAGTGAACACTGTTGCTGACCTTATGTCGGTTACACACTCGTCGTCAGCGACGAGTATGCAGATCTGCTTGACTTTGCCACTACGCAGATCACGCAAGAACCTTTTATGTTCGAGCGTTGGCAACTGAGTGATCTCCGAAGTTAACTTCGGAGGCGCAATCAGATCAAGTGTATAAGCGCCTACACTTGATCCGTTATTGACTATGACACTCAATGTCTCTGTCATTTCCTGGGGACTTATTCCCTCAGGCTTCGAAGGACTTATTCCTTCGTCTTCCCGGGGACTTATTCCCGCGGGTTTCGGGGAACTTATTTCCGCCGTATTTGTAATCTTGGGACTTATTCCCTTTACTTCCTCTAGCTGGGGTTGCGCAACCGCAGCGAGATCCTCTACGAAAGACTCTCCAGTCGATCTAGGATTATCGTTTCGCTTAACCTGAGCGATCGGTGGTTTCTCTTCTAGATGTTCCCCGCTAGGGATACATCTTTGTCCCGCTCCACTCGACTTATTCGAGTGGTGGACCTTCGGCGCAGCCTGTGTTTCCTCACAGCCGCCGGAATCTTGCTCCGAAGTGTAACTGTTTGTTACACTAAGGTTTTGTGCAGTCGTACTAACGACCGTACCACAAGTGAGTCCATCGCACTCACTCGTAGTACATCCACACGCTTGTGGACGCTCCAAAACTTCATCAGATGCCATCTGATGAACAAGCGGCAGGCACCGTTACTGTTCGATGGTTGCCAGTTTACTCGTGGTTCTTACCTTCTGAGCCACGGTATTCCAAGGATGACATCAAATTTGTCATCCAAATCCAATACGATAAGGTCATCGTCATCTTGGTTTCCTTCTAGCGTATAGTGAATCTTCACTATACGTTTCATGACGGTTACGGATGCGCCTGTCGCAAGACGTACCGTCATACTCGTAGGAGGTATGTCACATTCACTGAACTTGAAGTGACCATCTTCTAGCGATTGGCGTCGCACAAAATTGTTAGACACCCCACAATCGACTAGAGCTCGAAGGGACAACTTATTTGTCACTTCGAGCTTCAAGGTAATGAGTGAGATCTCATTACCTAGAGCAGCAACGCACAACGTTTGTGTGTTGGGAGCAACCTCCATCAAGAGGCCTACAAACTTTCTTGACGTTGCTGGTCCAATAGGGTGCCCCGCACCTACTGATCCTGTCCGTTTTTTGACGGTACATCCCGTTGTTGCGTCTTTGCACCAACAGCGGACCCGCGTCCCTGCCCCTTTCTCATGGGTGGACGGTCACTACGCCCAGTGTTGCGAGACACTGGACGAGGGGCACTACACTCGTAAGCGTAGTGTCCTGTCTTTTGACATCTGTTGCATTTCTGCAACTCCTTGTAGTCCGTAGAGCGAGCCTTCTCGCTCTCTACATAACAGAGGTACATCGGCTCTGGACCTCCGCTGTCATAACGTCTCAGTTGACGATATGATGTCGAGCTGGCGCGAGCCTGTCTCAGACTGAAGTCTTCCTGTTCCGCAATGGAAATGGCTTGTTCTAGTGAATCTAGTTCAAGTCGGAACAGGTGAGTCTTGACAGGACCATCCGCAAGACCCTGCATGAACACCGAACCCAACGTGTGTTCATCCACCGGATTGGAACTTATACAACTCGTGAGATGTCGTATATGTTGGGCGTAAGCGTGCACATCACGCTTGCCCTGTGTGAGCTTCAAGAGTTCGGTTCTAGCTCTGAACTCAGCTCTAGGCGGTTCAAACGTTCGTCTGAGCCGCGACTTGAAGGCCTTTAACGACCCAAACGCATATGGGTCGCGCAACTTGAGCCCCAAAGCCCAAGTCTTGGCACGTCCTGCCAGATTCGATTGGGCAAATGCAACTTGCATTTCCCCGTCGTCGATGCGACGCGCCCTTATGGCGTCGTCTAATTCGACGAACCATCTCAAGAGGGAGTCCTCTTCGACTCCCATATACTTGGAGATGTCAATCTTCAAGGTCTCGGGTCGACGCGAGTGCATCGACCCACCAGCAGCAGCCTGCTGCTGTCTCAACAGTTCAAACTGTTGAGCACCCTGTTCTCTCAACACTCTGCTTGTTGAAAACCTTGTTGGTGAAGCAAGGCTACTTTCTTGCGTTCAGCGTCAAGTTCATTTTGAATGAACTTGGCGATAGTAGCATGTTGGGCATCTCTATTGAGAGCCTCTAGCATGACGCTAACAGCATAAATGCCCATGGTTGAACCCATCCGTTCAACCGCATTCATTCGACATTGCTCAAATGGGAGTAGCCGTCACGCGTAGCGTGAAAGCTTTGATCATCATCATCATCTAACGTGTTCATGTTAGATGTGAACGTGGTCCTTGGACGGACTACGAAGTGCTACCAGGTGTAGCGGGGCACCCTGAAGCTTGTACTGATGACAGTACAAGCTACTTATTCTGAAGACAGAATGGGGCGGTGCCGCGTAACCTCACGTACACTGGTACGTGCAGAAGAAGACGGTATGAAGAAGCGAGTACTTAGTTAAAGTAAAAAGTAGAACTGTATTTATCATAGTTAATTTCTGTTAATAAACCACTGTTTATCCTCATCTAACTATGTCTAAATGCAAATGTGCATATCAACTATCTGCTCACCACTCATTGCGTGCGTCTGTCGTGGCGCGTCTTCGTTAGTTGATATAATGGCCTACATCAACCAATTAGGAACTACTCGTAAGTGCTACAGAATGTTTGTCCTTATGACAATATTCTGAGAATATAACGCTTATAGTTATATTCTATTAACAATTTCTTTCAAATTGTTATGTAACGGTTCACCCCGTTACAGGGAAAGTCATTGTTCTAGAAGTGATTGCTAAAAACAACTACCTCGTAACTCTAAAATGCCGGCCAACTTTTAAAGGACAATGCGATAGACCCGGCTTTGGTATATGGGCTGGAAGTTTCACTGGCGTCAGCATGATGAAGTGAAGTAAAGCAGTCTCTAAGAGGTCTCCTGACATTTATCCGCGCTCTTCCAGTGATGTCTCTCGATCCGCTGACTCCGAAAGCGCAAAAAGCAGGAAGATTAAATGACGAATCAAAAAGAGACACAAAATCATCGACAGTATGAGATGTGCGTGTCAACTTAGCATCCTGTCAACTGTAACCCCAGTGAAGGTATTCTCGTTTTCAGCTGGTGGTACCTCGCTTTCCAGCATACCAGCTGGTTGACAACATCAGGTGTTGTCTCTATTTGTTCATGTCCCGATCGTAATGGGAAAGCATGACAGGTCCTTGAGGTCAACCAGCACAATGGTAGACGTTTCGCAGAACGAAGGCACGGTAACTAGGCGCACCACTTGGCCTTTTTCACCTACAAAAAACGTTGCGTCGGACACGAACAGGCGTCAGTGTTGTTTATTCCTCCTCCCACATTCAGTCCGTCATCATCAAACGAGTCGTACCTTTGACAAAACGTGTACTAAAGCGTGGCTGATTGCCGGAAAAGTACACATGTGGACAAGTTTCAAGAACAAAGGGGTCCTCGTTCGCTATGGGAAAGCACGCCAGGATATCTGGCGCCGTAGGGGCAACATGTCTCCACTCGACACAACGTTGCAAGTAATCCAACGCGCGCTCGTGCTCTAGCTCTTCTGTATCCATTGTCATAACTGGAAAATCACTATCCGGCAATGTACACTGCAAGATACTACGCAGTGGCTGCCCTGCGTCTCCAAAAAAGTGCACGCTCCCAATCTGTGCCTCGTATGGGTTCGTGACACATCGAAATGAGTGGAAACGAGAGCTACGAGGGAATAAACACGGGTGGAAACTTTGTTGCGGCAGCGTGTAGTTGCTCGGATCCGACGGCCCGGGCATCAAGTCCACACACATGGCAGCTGCTAATGTCGACACGATGGCGTCCGCATTTTTCAGTGGTTCTCCTTCGACAGTCAACTGCTCAGCTGTCTTTCGTGTGATCGTTGGCACGTAAACATCGTCTTGGTTCACAGCTTCAAGAACGTTCCCCACCACAATCGTGCGTACAATTTTCGACACAAACTCTTTTTCCTTCGCGTCGCCCAATCGTCCAGCCAAATAGTCCACAAGCACATGAGTTCGAAGCGGTTGGTGATCGGCGTGACGACCGATGCCCAGACCCGAGACTAGCGCCACATACTCGCTCCCCTGTCGCTCCGGGAGAGAGTCTTGAGGCGGCATAGACGGCACGTACACTTCGTCAACATAGAACTGACCACCTGTCCCGTCTCGTGGCACACGACCCCGCACGGCAAGGACGACACCCGTGACGAACGTCGCCACGTCTACGTCCCCCACAAGTTGCACACGTCCACTCTCGTCCTCCAATAAGAGCTCGTCATCTTTTGTCGCCAGAGAATATGGAACCCGCTCGATCGGCGTGACGCCAGATTCACTAATAAGCGCGTCAAAAAGGTCGGGCTTGGCCTCCAGGACCTTGAGCAGCGTGCCAATCAACACGCACTCGTGACCATCCGCTTTGAGGTCAATCACTTTGGCCAGCACGGGGACACGGCCGTGAGTTCGTTCCTGGACTCGGGCGGCCAAGACGTCGCGGAGCTGCTGCAACCGACTCACGTAAATGTGCGAGAACTGCTGCGCGTACGACTTTTGCTTGAGCACGAAGCGCTGGTACGTCGGCGTGTACTCGACCGAGTGGCGCGACATTGGTGGGGCAGTTTGTGTAAACACAGTTGAAACGAAATATCAATTGATGGAGGTAGTATACGACTTTGGGTAGATGTATAGTGCATTCGAGGGTGTGGATAGTGTGTGACACATTCAAGATAGAGCGTACTCGCAGCTCACAACTCAGATTGTTCCATGTGACGAGTTTACAACCGGTAATGGTGCATGAGCAGACTAAGTATCGGCCCCCACGAACATAGCCACAATCAGACCATTATTCGGTATGTCGAGAAAAGATTACCGCCAACTGGAAGTAGCTTGCTTAAATACGACGCAAGCTGCAAACGTCTAAAGACTCAACGACTGAGAGTTGCTGTCGGATCAGAGTAGTTGCGCTTAACGATTTGTCAAAGTAATGAAAGACGTGCGTAAGATTGGGAAGCAGGCATTGGATCTTTGCCTTGATATGAGTGATCCAGTTCGGACAGCTAAATCAAGTTGCAAAACACTATACAACAGCAGTCACTGTAGAATAAGTGTAACGCTGTTCATGTCTGTGTTAAACCAGTATAGTAGGCCAGGGCAACTCGATCGGCCTGTCCTTATGAGCGTCCAGCAGTTGCTTATGTGGCAGGTTCACCTCTGATTGATGCCAATCACGTGCGTGCATCACAATAGTGATCTAGCCAAAGAGTGACTATGAATTCACCCACATACCTACGAAAAGGTGGACAGTCAGATCGGACTTGGTACGTGTAAGATACACCTAGCCGCGTTATTTACAGACACACAGGCAGACACACAGATAAGTACGATTCAAGTTCGGCATTTAAGCCTGCGCAAAGTCACTAGCAGCGTCAGCAATTAATGCAAGCACGTCTGAACAAAGTTAATGGGTCAAGTATACTGCTATCCCTACTACAACAATTGCCCTCTCATTGCGCTGTGATTGTAGCTCACCTGAAGGCGTAGGTGAACTAACGTTACAGTATGTGCATGAACAAGCTACGGGGGGGGCACACGTATCTTGCAAATATCTTCGATAGATACCTACAAGTCGCGCTGCACTTCCTAATTTGGTATCAGAAGAAAGCAAGCAAATATTTGACCACGTTCGATGATGCTTCTGACGAGATATACTGTGACGAGAGCTATCTTTGCAAGCGAAAACCCGTACGACGACGTGCATTGTCAGCTCGCGTGAATCGTAGCAGCTCTGGCAAAATCGCTCGCCACTGGTGTACTCATGTTGCGTCCGCCCATCCGCGCTAAGACTGTGAAGACTCTATGAAGAAGAGCACCCACTTTGGTGCTGCTCGATTAGTATAACTCGCCACCATGCCGGTGTATGCTGCAGTACAATCGAAGTAGCATCAGAGCAGCACAAGGACATGTTACGTCCATGCGAATGGCTATCTTTGTCCCAATCCCACTACATGCCGAAGCATACGTATCGCATCATAATGGCGGACACAAAGACGAAAACGATCACTGGGGTAATGTAAGCAGTTGTACAAGTTCTGTGTTTATCTACTAATTCAACTTTTGCCTTGTATCGATGAAGGTCAAGTCTAGCAGATTTTGGTAATTTACTTTAATGCTAACAACACTGCGCTACTATGAAAAGCCAGACGGATGGATGTGCGAGCACCGCATCATCTCCCTCGTCAACAACAATTTCTCGTACTCTTCTCATCGTCTTTAGGCACAAGGCTGCAAAAAAACTGCTGACGCAGCTCTTTGCCATATCATGCAGTTGCTGTCACTAGCTGCTCCGTCACTTTCGTCACAGTAAAAAGAGGGTATAACTTAACAACGCTTGTACGGTCCAGATATCGCAACACCATAGTTTGACCTGAGAACCCACACGGCCGCTGATCCGTCTTCGTTGACCACTCATACAGATAGCATACGTCTCTATCGCGAGGTACATGTAGCCTTGTGTAAAACCTACTCAAGGATAACTAAGTACGTGCCAAGCAGAGTTTGGTCGAGTTCTCTGTGTATTCGCGTTGAAAGAGATGCTCTTTTGTCTGCTGCACGTCTAGATGCTTGTACTCGACTCCAAATTTGGGCTCCTGAACTTCGACGACGAGATCTGTTTGTTGACTCCAAGTGCTGGTGGTCCTGTGTAAAGGATGCTATCATCATGGGTCGTGTTTTTCTTCTTCAAAAGCTGCTGCGGCGAACGCTCAGCCTGTAGCATGTGTTTTGTCATTTTCACAACCATGCGATTCGTCAAGGACTGGTCCAACGTTAGGCGGTCCACGATTGCGTCCGCCGTCTGCTCTTCCTAAAATTTCAAAACGATCCTAGCCGCTACATGGATCGGTACGTGCACCGAGATGGTTGAGCTCAGAATATTTATAGCAGACCTGGACAGTCCATTTCTGCACTTTCTGTCATCAGGCCCCAAGTCTGACGCGACGCATCGCTTCGAAAGCAAATACACTCGCAGCAGTAGGATCGTTGAAGGGCTACTCTAATGGCGACAGTTATTCTCTCTCGAGACAAGTCGGAGCTGCAAATGATATCGTCCACCTAGTCCCACTCACGCAAGAGTGACAGAAGTAGCCACGCACCAATTCATGACAACTCCCCGATCGATCACATCGGGAACAAAAAGAGGTCTGCTCGACAATCTCTAAACCAGGCGGTTGTATGATCGATCGTTCCAGCGCTGGAGCACAAAGCCGGTACTTAACAAGCGATCTCGCAAACACGACAATTCGACAGCATTTTATCAGTTCCCAATAAGCCAAAAAGGGCGGCACCATGCTGCGAAGTGAGGAACTTACAGAAAGACCAAGTCATGTCTCGATCTCTACCGACGAGGTCTCGGTCAGCCTGCGATCGGTACCAGAAGATCATCCGCTGTTGGTGCAGAACGAACCAAAGAAGAACGAGTCGAAAAAAGTAGTTTTGGAAGCGAAAGCGGCAGTTGTGCCTGCTACCAAAGTGCTTTTTCTAGATGGCGTTCGTGGTCTGGCTGCTATCTTAGTAGTCACGCAGCACTCGCACGAGTACATGCAGGACTCGAACTGGGGTGCGATTGCAGTGGACTCGTTCTTTGTCTTGTCGTCATTTCTGCTCACGTGGCTCTTTTTGAAAAAGAGCATTCAACTGCGCGATCAAGGAGCTGGAGCTCGGAAGTGGCTATTCACTTTGGTCGACTACTTTTCCAGACGCTTCTTTCGCGTATACCCGCTGTTCACTATCACGTGCATCGTCCTGTGGTTCTTGAATGATGCGGAGAAAGAACGGTACTTCTTGGTCACGGACGTCGGGACCTACGACTTGTTGAAAACCCTGCTGTTTGATTTTGACCACCGCTACTTTGTTTTTTGGACGCTTCCTCTTGAGATTACGTACTACTTGCTCATTCCAGTGTTTGTCCTGTTGACGCTATTGCTGCGGAAGTTCTGGTGGGTGCCTTTCATCCCAGCGTACTGTTGGGTTAACTATGAAGGCTGGAACGAGTTCCGGACAAGCCACGCACTGTTCCGTCCCCACATTCCAACGTTCCTGGCAGGATCAATGGCTGCAGTGGTTTATCTGAAGCTCGACATGTGGATCAAGGCTAGCGGGTTCGAGTTTCGGTTGGTTCACAAACTCGTGCTACGTACTATCCAGTTCGCGGCCCTTGCTCTGTTCCTTAGTATTGGTTTCCAAGGCCTTTTCTTCGTTTGGGTACATGGAAACGTAGCACCAGAAACCCCTGGGTTCCCGTTCGTTAGTGTGCTCTTGACGATGATTATCGTTATCGAGATGCTGTTACCTTCGCCATTATCCTCCTTCTTCGAATGGAGTGTCTTGCGCTACTGGGGTAAGATCAGTTTTTCTGTCTACTTGCTGCACAGCTTTGTTGTATGGAATAAGCGCGTGAGCAACCAGCCGAATTACTACTGCCGGCTCTTTTCCCGATTCGGGCTGCTCTGGATGCTGGCTACGACTTCGTATCATTTGGTCGAGTACCCATCTCAATTGCTGGCACAACGCATCTCTAAGATTCTTAATGAGCAGGAAGCAAATGGCTTGGGTTGCCTTGCACCGATCCAGTGTAAAGCAGACAAACTTGAGGAGAAGTAGTGACTTCTGGAACGTGCTCGGTCGGAGGACTTGGCATAGCGACGGAACGAATTGTTGGCATATTGATGTGCATTTGTGTGTGTGTATTGCGCAGCGGATATATGCAGTCGATACGGCGTGTAAGCAAATGAATGAGTTTTCTACAATGCTGTGTCGGGTCTGTATTGTACTTTCTCTGTTTCAACATGATTGTTTCTCTTCAGGAGAATGACAGAGAAAAAGATCTTTTTTATAGCCTGCTTGGCTAATGCACCTCAAAGCTTGGCTTGTGCACCTCAAATTACTGCTAATTATTCGCTCTTCCAGCCAGAGTCGGTCGCGCATTTTTTCTGTCACAGCAAGCAGAGATCTAGACGCTTTAAACCCAGCATTTATGAAAGATTTGTCGCGGACGTCCATTGCAAAGCGTTTTTAAGCCATTATTGGTCAAGTGTGAGGGCTTAAACTACAGCTCAAAAAGGGCGAGCACAGCCGATTGTGCCCGGATTTCGAATCGCCTGTGCTAAACCGCTACTGCAGCTTAAATTAGACAACTGTTTAAGCTAAAATCACACTAACTCGCCTTTATGAGTAGTTTATATCCATAATTAGACATGATGAAATGTTTTATTTGAAGAGGAGGTGGCACTCGATGACTAGCGTATGCGGGCTTCCTTTTTTTTCCAAAAAGGGAGCGCGCTCGGGAGCTCACCTTTTGATATGAGTGATCCAGTTCGGACAGCTAAATCAAGCTGCCAAACACTGCACAACAGCAGTCACCATAGAATAAGTATGACGCTGTTCTTGTCTGTGTTAAACCAGTATAGTAGGCCAGGGCACTCGGTCGGCCTGTGCTTATGAGCGTCCAGCACTTGCTTATGTGACATGTTTGCCTCTGATTGATGCCAATCACGTGCGTGCATCACGATAGTGATCTAGCCGAAGAGTGACTTTGAATTTACTCACATACCTACGAAAAGGTGGACAGTCAGATCGGACTTGGTACGTGTAAGATACACCTAGCCGCGTTATTTACAGACACACAGGCAGACACACAGACAAGTACGATTCAAGTTCGGCATTCAACCCTGCGCACAGTCACTAATAGCTTCATCCTTCGGGCTCGCAAAATAAATTCTTTAGCCAAAACAATCAAACATTTGAAATAAAAAATCGCATAATTTGAGACAAAGACAATGAAACAGAGGGACGACTTCCTTAGTTCTGAGTTGCGAGCTTTTTGTTTGTCAGGCAAACTTACAGTTGAAAGCAAAAGGTTGACAGAACAACGGCAAGCAGCAACAAAACTGAGCAAAATTGGCGTTACCGTAGCGTGATCGATACTTGGTTAGTCGATGGACAAGTCAATCAGTTTGGACGTGAAGTTGCATGACCACCAAGTCCATCGGAAGCAAGTTTACCCGAGCACACACGTAATGAGGTGCAGCTCAGGCACATGTTGGTCCGGTGACGCTTGGTTGGAATTTGAAGAAGGGAAGACCACCGTGTTCTTGCAAATTGGTGCGCGTAATGGGCCCCGATCGAAAAGTAAGACAAAGAGAGATACTCTTGTCTTCGGCACAAGTGCCAGCAGCACTCAACATTCCTGTGGCCAAGTCCAGCTTTACACGTCGAACCCAAGTGACCAACCTGTCCCGATCGTTATGTTCGAACATGCACGCAATGAGGTGCAGTTCGGCTACAACAAACGGTCTGGACCGGTCACAAAAGCTCGACATGCGACTGCTACTACCCCCTAAACGGCAAAGCCAAGGCAAGCACGCAATGAGGTGCCCGCTCCGGCGATCCGGTTAAGAGAGTAGCAACTATCGCCTGTAAAGCTAGGACCCGTGGCACTGGTCGATGACTTGCACGCGATGAGGTGCAGCTGTCGACATAGTCCAACCGAAAACTTGAATGCTGTGCATTATCCGGGATGTAGTCACGATGCTTCAGCACGCGTAGTAGGATACTGATTGCGAGTTGTACCAACTTCTGCATCGTTTTATCCAGCACACTTGTAATGAAGATGCATGGAAATCTTGACTTGACCGGTGGCTCTCGTGCAGCGAGCGATACGCATGAAATGAGATGCGACACTGCCACGAAGACGAGGTAATTTGTCCAGAAGTGCTACATCTTGATACCCAAAAATCGGGCGAGCAACTTGACACTCGGAGATACTGGAACATAGATCTGTGTGGAAGATGTGTAGCAGACTAGTGCTGCAGGCCGGATCTTGAAGGTCTCGAAGGGAGAAATCGTACATCGCGGCTTCGCTTTCGTGTCGACGATGGCTGACGACCTGACATGAGGTGCGCTTCAGGCGATGCTGAAAAAGCCACCCAATGCGTGAAGACTGGAACGTAGGTCGTGGTAAAGACGTGCAGACAGACCAGTGCTGCACGCCGCGTCTTGAAAGACTTGAATGCTTTGGAGGTCATTAAGGACTTGAAAGACTTGGAATTCTTGCCGGGCGTGAATGCTACGAACGTCTTGAAGTCCCCCTTTACTTGAAGGGCTTGAAGGGCTAAAAAGACTTGGAGGACTTGTTGGGCCTGAATGTCTTGAAGGTCTCATTTACTTGAAGGGCTTGAAGACTTGAAGGACTTGAATGTTTTGAACGTCTTGAAGGGCTTGTTGGGCTTTAATGCAATGAACGTCCTGAATGTTTTGAACGTCTTGAAGGTCTTGAAGGGCTTGAAGGGCTTGGAGGTCTTGAAGATCATGAAGGTCTTGGAATTTGTACATCGCCGCTCACTTCCGTATCAATGATGACTGAAAAATGACAAGAGAGGTGCGCCGCTAACGGCGCTAAATAAACTCTTTAATGCCACGTGTGATTAAAGACACAAAGCATTAGGTGACGAGGGAGCTGCGATCTTGGCAGCCGTAACAAGATAAACGTTAGTCCGTCAAAGTTCTCACCTTTCAGCAGTTCCCCCTGGTCCGTACGTACCTAAAAGAAGCGAATGGCGACTGAAGTCGATAGACCTGCCACGAATCGTGAGCGCCGTGCAGACTCACACGATCGCGAGTGGTCATTGACGTACAAATGCGTGATATCCTGCAAGGGCATCCGCTTTGGCGGTGCACCTTTGACCACCTTTTTCACGACCTCTTTCGCCTTGGCGTCTGCCGTCACTTTTGTCTGTTTGTTCTTTGTTTTGCTGTGCTTGATCTTCTTGGCCGGTTTCTTGGCCGAGATCTTAGGCTTTTGCTGTATCTTTTTCTTGGGCGTCTCGGTTACTGCCCCTCGTTTCTGCTTGTTACCAGTCTCTTGATCGACAGTTGGCGTCTGTTCTCGGAGCTGTTCCTGTTGAATTGGAGCTGCTGGCTCTTCATCTTTTACTGCACATTCCGTCTTCCGTTTCTTCACACCTCGTCGGTCTTCATTGTCTTCTTCATCGGTTGCTTTCTTGTCGCAGTCTCTTCGCTTCCGCTTGAGGTTCCGAATCGAGGTCATCCGACTGGGATCTCGCGTCCTGCAAGTAGTGCGTCTGGGAGGCCGCGGGGGCGTTCGCACTGACGCTGGGACTCGAGAAGAATCGGGTCGAGCTCGTCGACGGACGATGTAGCCATAGTTTTCCTTGTCGGACTCGTCAAAGTACTCGAAGTCACGGGAGATGAGCGGCAAGAGGTGGTCGAGCATCTTATGCGTTGAAGATATTCGCTATCGATCGGAAGCTTTCGAGTTGTGCTTGAAATTGAGCGCCAAAACCCAAAAGCTCACTTCCCGCCAAAAACTGACCGACAAGCGATCACGTACCGGTATTAATATCGGTCCAGGACCGATATACCGATATCAAGTGATGATCACGACGTCACGTCCGACTGTTCGTAAACAGCCGATGAAACGCTCGAAGGATGTGCTGGGACTCGAGTTTTGGCCGTAAGCAACGTTGCTGTGTAGCGTCAGTGCATGTAACGTGAATGTTGCAATGTTGCGACAAAAAAGCGGCGAACGACCGGCGCGACGTGCGACGGACAAATTTGGCGATCGGAGTGAGTGAGTTGAGCTCTCGAGCTTGAAACCGATCGAGACTCTTGCAATGTCTTTCCTCTCGCTGTAGTACGTTCGTGGGAAATGGAGCTGGAAGTCAAACGGGGAGGCACCGGATACCCAGGGTGAGGACGACGTCAAGTGCACGTCTTAGCTAGTTGGCTTGAAACTATAGACAGTTGCCGCTGAAGATGCAAGAGATCATCATGTAAGTAAACTTGAGCAAAGTCTAGAGCTTCGGGTTGCAGTAATGCAGCTACAACTTCGTACCGTTTACAGCGAGCGAACAGCAGAACAAATGGACGTCATTGCATTAGTCAGTGGCTGCTGGAGGCAGATCCTTCCAGGAAGCAACTATGTAGCATCTGCCGGTGTGACTGCATTCGGATCCAATGCGCCCGGACGACCATGAAACACACGTCATGTCCCTAGCTTTGTAGCTAGCTAACTCTTTGCCCCGCCATCTAGCTACAAGATCAGTCGCAACCCGCTCGCGCAAATGAAAGCCAAACTCACATCACGTCCCATGCATTGCTACCCTCGTATTAGCCTCCCAACGAGCCGATTATAATGTTAAAAGGCAATAATAAATTTCCTACCTCTACTTCACGCGCCAGTTTACTCCACCTTCTCATTGAGCCTAGCAGTGGCCTTTATAGTGTTCCTCTATCGCTTCACCACCTGTTGTGCTCGCAAAAAATGCGGCCACGATATGTTCTGTCGGTCTCTCAACAAGTTCCTTCACCCGCTCTACTTTATCCATGCCGTGATCTCTCTCGTGCTCCATCTCAACTTTACTTCGTCAGATCCACTCTGACCGCATGTCAAAGATTGACGATCGACGAGGGTTCATTTCCGATGGTTTCTCGGTAGCAGGAGAGCTTTTCTCTCTCGTCTCCGTCTCCTCCTCCGGCTCGCCATCTTCTGATACAGATTTAGGAACCCGACACGAAGAGCCATGACTAGAAAAAAACGTGTCGGACAGCACTCTCTTGCTCAACTTGGAGGAGCCCACGCCAGGTGACTTGGTGTCCAAGAGGGCCTCGGGTTGCTCACCCATTCGGCTTATAGATTTAGACGTGAGACACGGTGTTTCATCCCCAGCAATCCCAGTTGCTGATTCAGACGATTTACGATGCTTGTCTTTGCTCGAACGCGTCGAAAACACAGGTATGTCCTCACGAGGAAGCTTCCGCAATGCAGCAGCAATGCTCGCTGTGGACGACAGCACCCGGCCACTCAGTCGCTGGAGCTCTAGTTGCTCAGCTAAGGCATCCTCAATATCGATATTCGCGCCATGGTCCGTCCTGCGCGTCACCTCATCTTTTTGCTTGGAAATCCGGCGGCTAAAGAACCGACGAATGCAGCGCAAGAGCGACTTGAACATGACGATTGTTCTCGCACTTGTTGCAGCAGGTTCACTCGAGTGCCCACCACCGCTCTGCCTAACCGTGGAAAACCTCCGAATGCGGCTACAGATAGAGAGAGACAGCGGTAGCATCAATACAAAAAACAAGTTGTAAGCCTCGTGCCAAACTCTCCCGCATAAAGAATCCAGTCAGACAGACAGTCAGACAGTCAGTCCGTCCGTCGATCAGTTCGTCCAAGTACCGCTTCACGTACCGACTCCGAGCCTTCTGCACCCCGTCGTGGTCGGTATCGAAAGGAAGAGTGCGTGACTGCTGTAAAAAAACTCGCTGCGGTTGTGCTCAGGTGCCACGTGGTTCAGTTCGTTCCGCCCTTCGGTCGTCGCCCTCGTCGTCGTCCTCGTCGTCGTCGTCCGGTCTGTTCGACGGCACTTGGAAAACTGCTGGCCGCTCCTTTCGCTCGCGATCGTCCGCCCGAACTTTGTCGGTATTTATAGCCCTGCCTCGTCTCCACTTTCGTCGTGGACGCGTTATGTACCGAACTGTACACGACTCGCCATTGGTATCGGGACCGGAGCGACGAGAGACAGTACCGAGTGGAGCTCCCCACCAGTTCGCCTGAGCTGACTCGCCCTCCATTACTTGAAGTCCGTCAAAGCTCAGGATCGCTAACTACAAAGACTGCGCTCTCCGACTCCCGTCCTCCTGTCGCACATGCAGAGCTCGTGGAAAATTCACAGGCTGAGGACACTGCCTCTTGTGTCGGTCTGTGTGGCCATCCACCGACGGCTCTCGAGGCTGCTGGCGTTGCAGAAAACGGTGGACACGAGGGTTCGCTGTAGCTTCCGTCCGCCGATCAAAAAGATCCGTCTTCTTGACGAGTTGGCGCTGACGCATTGAACCCAGCAGTACATCTGTCCCTCAATATTCAGGCTATGGCTGTTCTTACGATCACAAGACTGGATAGATAGGTAGAGAGAGAGAGAGGCTGCCATCGACGTTCATCGGACTTCTGCGAAAGAGAAAGACGTCACTAGGACTGCGAAACTTGTACATGTACACGCTGCGACGACTCGTTCGAACGACGCCGGACTTATAACCGTGCACCTCTGCGTGGAACTCGTCTGGTCTCCACCTCGATTGGACTCGACATGTTTGCGTCGACATTGTCGAAGAAAGGCGCGCCGCTCCACTCGATCCGTGAAATATTCAAGACGGAAGAAACTGGTAACGAGGGCGCACGAGACGAGCGCACACGATCCACTCCTGCTTTAAGCACGTGATGAAGCGCAACTTCAGGTGATAACCACAACAACAACTACAACAACAACAACAACAACAACAACAACAACAACAACGACTATCCCTTTCCAACAAAGGGATACCAGTCGGAAAGAGGGCTCCATGCTTACGGGAGTTGCTACAGCGTATCCAGGAATTGCTTGCAATAGTGACCGAAAACAATGAGATCACGGCTGCTACTACGACGTCTACCACCTTAAAAGTGGTTGAAAAAGTCGTAATAATTGTCCCCGATGATGGAACATTCCACGCCACTAAACGGCATCAAGAGTGGCGCTTCTTGTCTGGGCGCATTCATCGACCCACTCTCTCCGGACTAGCGACGTGTCACTCAAGTGCATCATCATTACATCCACCTCATTCCCTCTGAAACTAAATGTCATACGTACCCCCCCCACTTGATTACGAGACCATGTTCGTCACCTCTATCATCTAATACTTTCGCTCCAATACCTCTTCACTTGCGTCTCGACGACGACCATCATGGCCACCAGCGGCGCGTTGCTGCACTCGTGCACCGTGTACCTCCACCTCTACGACGCCGCCAGCGGCTCCTACACACAGCAGACAGACGCCGCAGTGGGCTGTGCCTTGCTCGGTGGCGACCGCGAGCGTCCGCGCGCGTTCTCGCTGCTGCTCTACGACGCCCAGAAGTCGCCCCTGCTGCAGGTCCTTTTGACGCCCAGCACGCGGTTTGTGCCGCAAACGAGCAATTACGTGAACTTCTACGACCCGCAGTCGAAGCAGTACTATGCCATGCGCTTCAGAGACGCTGCGAATAGTGAGGAGTTTCTAAATGCCGTGGCGCTGATCAAGGCGCAGGTGCTCGTGCACTCTGCGACATCTTTTGAGCGTCAGAAGAGACGGGTGGTGCTTGTGGATGACGTGGCAATGGGGAGAGAAGATGCAGAAGCACTTGGAGCTGGAGACGTGGCGGGGGTGACGCTCAAGAAATGGCACGGGGCTGCGGCAGAGCGGGACCAGTTCTTTTCGGCGAACCCGTTGGATATTCGTAGCCGTCAAACGACGGATGCGACCACTGGCAATGAGGTGAAGAGGATCAAGCTATTGGCAGAAATCGAAGACGGAGAAACGGACCCTTTTGTTGCTGTGTTGGCGACCGAAGCGCTCATTGGGATGCACAAAATGGCGAAGCGATTGGTGACTGTGACGTTCCCGGACACTCAAGAGTGGGTCATTGCAGAAGTGGAACTAGTCAAGGTGAAGAAGAGCACGAGGTCGAGTGCGGATTTGACGCCGACTCCATCGAAGGATGAGTACGTGGGAGCACCGATTACTGCTGCTAGTGATGTAATGGAGGAGCAGACACTGAAAGAGCATGACGAACTTGTCAAGCGCATGGCAATGTTGTCTCGAGTTGGTAGTCAAACATCAGAAATGATGGCAAGCGCGCAAACGAAAGTGCACAGCCGCCAAACGTCGGTTGGTGACACTGAAGTGATGCCGAAGCGAGCATCATTTAGTGGACTGCAGTCGACAGAACCTCCAGCAGGGTACGTGCCAGTGCTATTGGCTGGGCTCCAGCTTCCGGGACAACGACCTGGGTCTTTTCGCAATATGAGGAATGATTCGGAGGTTGCAAAGCCGTCGGACTCTTCTTCGCCTTCTCGTGCCAAGTCGGTAACCGTGCCTACGTTTGAACCGCTGAAGCAGCTGTCTACGTCACCTAATGTAGACGTGGACGGCGGCACGACACTGTCGTCGTCGTTGTCTAGCGATCTAGAGCGGTTGATGAAAGAGCAATCGGATTTGGCGCGACTTCATGCGGAATTAGAACAAAGCAAGCGCAAGCTCCAAGCGGATGACACAAGTGTTGGTGTACCAGCGGCCCAACGTCCACATTTATCGACGAAGGAGGTCAATTATTCTGTGGGTTTGACTGAACACAAGCTGGCACACGAGAAGCAAGCTCCTTCCTTTGCGCCTACACCGCTTGCGTCTATGGGTTTCCATGCACTCTCTGGTGGAACCTCATCTTCATATAGGACAACGCCGGACAAGTGGTCACCTGCTAACTTGGATATAGTGCCGTCTTTCCCGTCGTCCACGTTTAATCCCCAGTCATTGGGGGCCCCAGCACCGCCGACCCCGTTCTCGTCGTCTCTAACACCGTACACGAATCGATCATTTCCGTCCTACCCATCGACGCCAGGAGTGTCAGGGTCAGGATCATTGCCAGATGTCGAGAATGGTATATTTCGTCTACAACGATCATCTACATCGATTGAATCCATGCTGCACGATCTGCAGTCGAAGATGGATCGGTTGCTGAATGTGCAAAACTCGATGAAAGCGAGCTCATATGCTGGAAATGCACGCAAGTACGGTGGAAGTGTGCCGTTCTCGTCTGTCGCATTCTCTTCGTCATCATCATCGTCGTCATCTTCGTCAATGCTACTGAAAAATATTGAAAAGGCTCTCGCACAGCGCGAACAGCTTCAGGAAGCTAATGCTCGACTTGAGGACGCAAACGGCGAACTCGAGTCTAGTGTCGAAGATCTGCAAAATCAACACGACTTACTTCAGATGGAAAACCGTGCGCTACTAGACAAACTGCAAAGCGGGAATCATTTGCAGCAGGAGAAGTTTGGCGTGGAATTGCGGAGTGTTCAGGCAAAACTTAGTCAGTCTCAGGAGCAAATGCTTGCGTACCAGGAAGAAAACTTTCGACTTCGAGCAGAGCTTTCTGCGAAGGACGATAAGCTTGCAAAAGAGAAGGCAAAATTACAAGAGGATGTACAGAAGCAGTATGGTACTCTGAGGCGGCAGGCCGAAGAGGAAGTTCGTCAAGGCTTGATGGACTCGATCGACAAAATGGCGACCGAGAATGCCGCGCTGATGGCGCAAGTTGGCGAGTACAGTGCTCAGAAGAAGCAGTGGGCTCATGAGCGGGACATGATGAAAAAGCGGCTGAGTGAAGCCCAGAGCCAGCAGGTGCAGCTCCAAGACGACTCTGTGAAATCGCAGAGTGCTCAGAACTCGCGCGTGCAGGAATTACTGGCTCGGCTTGAGCAACTTGAAGCTGAATCGAAAGGTTTGGAACAGCAAGCGGACAAGTATCGCTTTGAAGTGCAGCATCTGGAGGAGCTGCTTGTGTCGAAAGAGCACGAGATGGCCGAGCTACAGTCGGCAAGAAATGATCGGGAGTACGCGGCTTTGAGTGGCCTTTTCAAGGAGTTCATGAACGACATCTACTTCCATTTTCAAGACGCGTTCGATGAAGACACCGAGTTCACCGGCAAAGAAATTGTGATGGCAATTCGGAAGATTCTCAAACAGAACACGATGGACATACTGGCGAAACTCGAGGAGTTCTACCAGCAACAAGTACAACATCGTCAGTGAAGGTCGGCGATCTATGTCGGCTGCGTCCTGGTTGAATTGGGGAAGGCTTAGATGTGAAACGGGCACTGACAGTGGCAGTGGACTGTCTCTCACTTGTGGCGTCTGGATTGACTCGTCAGCCTCAATTTCCTACTGCGGCATGGGAATAGCCGCGAGCAGCTCCTGTGCCTCCTTGAAAGCATCGAGCAGCTCCACCTCGTCACGATGGGCCCCGATGAAGTTTGAAATGTCCGTGACTGCCTCTTTTAGGCGACCCTGACAGTCCGGCAGCATCGTCTCCGTCTCCACCAGTACTTCGAGTTGCTTCCGGATGTCGTATTCGTCCTTGTCGTCAGCACGCATCTTGTCAATCTTGGCTTGCTGGGCGGTGCGTTCCTTGACGTAGTACTCGAGGTCTTTCTTGACTCTAGTGATGACGATGCAATGAAGTTATTGAGTGCTAGGTATGTGTATTCATGCAAATGAAGCATCGTACCGGCGCAATGTGCCCACTTTGATCTTGAACTGCCTTTCGGACATTGTGTGGTACTAAACGCTTGGATTGACTGGAGAGGTGGTAGATTATTGACAAGCCAGACGTCAAAATACAAGACGACATGTCAGACACTTATACCGGTATACCGAATCGTATCGGTTACCTACAGACGTGGCCCGAACCTCAGCTTTTGTTTGTTTTGAAGGCCAAGTGAACATTCGGCTAAAGTCACCTGTTATAACGAATGACTACCATGCAAAGTTCACGAAAAGCTTGTATCCTAAGTTCTGTGGCTTGTCTACCAGGAACAGCGTCGTACAAGTACTTCCTCAGCTCCAAACACTTCAACATGCCATCCACTTAAACAGCTCTAGTTGCTAGGAACGTAAGTCTTCTCGAGTGGGTGAGGGCGCGTGATCACGTCAAAGCGATCCGGACCGACGCCGATCCACTTGATGTGCGTGCCCAAGAGCTCCTCCACGCGCAGCACGTACTTCTTCGCAGCCTCTGGTAGCTCTGCAAATGTCTTGCACTTGGAGATATCCTCCGCCCAGCCATCCAGTTCCTCATACTCCACGACCGAGTTTTCCAGCAGCTGCAGGTTTGACGGCATGCCGTCCAACTTCTTGCCCTTGTGCCAGTACGCAACACCAATCTTCACCTTCTTCAAACCCGTCAGCACGTCCAACTTGGTCAGATTCAGCTCCGTAAAGCCATTCACCATGTTCGAGTAGCGCATCTGAGGAATGTCCAGCCAGCCACAACGACGGGCGCGACCTGTTGTCGTGCCAAACTCGGCACCGACCGTACCCAAGTGATTGCCAACCTCATCGTACAACTCCGTCGGAAACGGTCCTTCACCGACACGCGTACAGTACGCCTTGACAATGCCAATAATGCCATTCAGGCGGTTCGGGGAGATACCGCCACCCGTGCACACACTGCCAATGCTCGGGTTGCTTGACGTCACGTACGGGTACGTGCCAAAGTCGATGTCCAGCATGGTGGCGTTAGCCCCTTCAACCAGAATCTTCTTACCCGACACGTACGCGTCGTTCAAATACGCCACCGTATCAACTGTCATGCTCAAAATCTTGTCCTTCATGTCGCTGTACACCTTGATCTCAGCCTCCGCATCCGTGACTAGCTCTGGATAATTGTCCTTGTAAAACTTGACCTGGTCACGCAGCTTTTCCGAGAAATCGTCAAAGTAGCGCAAATCCCCCACTCGCACCCCGTTGCGCAGCATCTTGGATGAATAGGCCGGACCAATGCCCTTTTTGGTCGTGCCAATCTTGTTCCGGCCACGACGCAGCTCGTTGATCCCGTCCACTTCCTGGTGCAAATCCAGCACCATATGCGCTCGATCCGAAATGAGGATGCGGCCTTCGTAGCTCACGCCCATCCGCTCGAGCCCCTTGAGCTCTTCTAAAAAGCTCGGCAAGTGCACGACCACTCCATTGCCAATGATGCAGACCGCGTCCGGGTTCAAAATCCCCGACGGCACCAGATGGAACTTGTACTTCTTGCCTTCGTGGACGATCGTGTGACCAGCGTTCGAGCCGCCAGCGACGCGCACGATCACGTCATAAGACTGCGACAGACTGTCCACGAGCTTGCCCTTGCCCTCGTCGCCCCATTGAGCCCCCAGCACGACGTCCACGCCGGCGTTGAGACTGTCAGAGTGGCGGTGGGGGTTCGCCACGGCGCTCTCGATGCGGTTGAGCTTGGCCACGACCTCCTTGAGCATCGCCTGCGTCACGGCCTCTCGACTCACGGGCTTGATGGTGCCCTCGCACTTAGTGGAGACGGACTCGTCATCCTTCAGTATCGCGACTGTAGCGGCTCCAGCGAGAGCGACGGCTGCAGCTATTGGCAGAAAAGAAGGACGCGAGTGACTCGGGCGGTGACTGGCGTCGACGGCCAGAGCGGCGCGGAGAGCGGCGGACGCGTGCGCGGCGTGGAGCTGACGGGCGGGACACTGGGCGGAGAAGCGCAGGGCCGCGCGGACGGCTCGAGACGCGACGTCGACACGCATGACGAGACAAGCGAGCTCGCTCGGCGGGTGCAGCTGCTCGACTGAGCTCGTGGTGGCTGGCTGCGAGGCCACGTAGGTACCGTGGTGTACCGGTATTGGAAGTGGACGGGATGGACTGCGGTTGTACCGGTATGAGCTTGGTGGTTTACGTCAGGTGAATGGTAGTGGTACCGATGAGTGGGTACTTTGTGTGCATACAAAGCACAACTGCTGGGTGGAGTCGATGCTGATTGGGAGTAAGTCGCAATACCGGCACCAACCAGGTCTTGTGGATACGCTCGTTCGCACTTCAAGTTGGTATAAAATGGATGCAGACTTTAAACGAGTAGATACCGGATATCTGTCAATGATGACAAGATTTGGACAACGAGGTGGCTCTGGGCTTGATTACCGCCACACTGCTTTTGCTTCTCCTTGCCATACCCTTTTACCACAACCGTAGCGCCACGACGAAGTCTTGAGACCTGAGATGCTTCGCATTTGCTCTATTACGCTCGCATCTCCATGTGCGAGCTCGCCGCTGCTTTACCTGCACTACCTCTCGTCGATCAGTGCCTTGGCCAGATCAGTGATGCTGCGGAGGTCCGTGACCTTGGCGCATCGCAGACACAATTGCGTCCCCTCAATATCCACTTCAGGTGCGTATTTCCAGCACCGCGGACACTTGTGCCCCTCGGCCGGGGTCAGCACCAGCTTCACGTCGATCGGGGCATCGCTCGAGACCATCGCCAATTGACAAGTCGCCTCGAACTGCTCTGCACTCTTGATCGCAGCTTCCGAGTCCACAACTCTCACGCTAGAGCACAAAAACACATCCTCGAGCTCGGAGGAGCTGCTCTCGAGCGGAGACAGCAGTGCTGCAAGACGTGGATCGGACTCAGACGCGACAATGTAGACGTTGCACTGGAGCTGACTGCCAACTCGACCTGCTTGGCGCATCCGCTCCACCACTCGATTCACTTCAAAGCGCAGCTGACGGATCGCAGTCCAGTCCCGCGACAATTCGTTGTTCTTCCACTCGTCGGCATTCGGCATCCAGCCTTCATCCAGAAACACACTGCCGACCACGTCTTCTAGTGGAATATCGCCTTGCAGCCTTGAGAGCCAATGAAGGCGGATATCTTCAGCTGTGTGTGGCGCCACGGGTGCAAGAGCACGGGTAAGCGCTTGCAAGGAGAGCCACAATACGGTCTGAGCAGAGCGTCGAGTCTGGGAGTTGGCTGCGTCGCAGTACAGGCGGTCCTTGGCGGCTTCCATGTAGAAAGCCGACAGATCCGTCGAGATGAAGTGCGAGAGGGCGTGCTGGGCACGATTGAATGCATACGCATCGTATGCTGCGCTCACTGATAGAGCCAGCGAGTTGAGCTCATGCAGCATGTACCGATCCAGCGATGACTGCATTTTATCGTGCGGGACAGCGTGCAACGCGGGATCGAAATCCTGTAAATTACCAAGCAAAAATCGAGCCGTGTTGCGCACCTTACGCAGCGCGTCACTTGCCTTACCAACGACTGCAGGACCGATGCTCACGTCGCCAGTAAAGTCAGTGGTGGCCACCCAGAAGCGAAGTACGTCAACACCGTATGCAGGTACCTTTGTCTGCTTCACTTGCATGGCCCTATGCGATTTGTTGCTCTCGTTTTCCGGGTTCGCCTTCTTGTTGAATCCCTTGCCAGCGACGGGCACTGGCATAGTACAGCCATTGATAAAATCGTTGGGCACGATTGTATTGCCCAGTGACTTGGACATTTTACTGCCCCGCTCATCCAGAGCGAAGCCATGAGTGATGACGTTCTTGTACGGAGCCGTTCCCTGCATCGCAAGTGACGTGAGTAGCGACGACTGAAACCAACCTCTGTGTTGGTCGGAACCTTCGAGATACACGTCGGCACAAAGTGGTTCATCATTGTTCGGCTCATACAAGGATGGCAACACTGCATGCCAACTACTGCCACTATCGAACCACACGTCCAAAGTGTCAGTGCCTTTTTCGTAATAATCCGCTTGATCGTGGAGCGAGTCTGGCAGCAGCTCGCCAACAGATAGATCCCACCAACAGTCAGCTCCCTCGCGCTCAACTTCACCGTTCTCTCCCTTCACAACGTACGTCTTGACAATGCGTTGAAGATGTTCAATAGTTTCCGTTGTAATTAGCGGTTCCCCCGTAACCTTGTGGTAAAACACTGGGATCGGCAGTCCCCATGCGCGCTGGCGAGAGATGCACCACTCGTGACGACTTGACAGCGTTGCTTCCAGACGTCGTCGTGCGGAGGGCGGTACCATTTGGACCGAGCTCTGCAGTACTTCTTTACCACGTGCGTGAAGTGCATCCAGGCGAGCAAACCACTGAGCTGTAGCACGGAAGATGACTGGCTTCTTGGTACGCCAATCGCAAGGGTACCGATGACGGTATTCGCTGACAGAAAGCAAGTGCCCCGAGTTCTTGAGCATGTCGATAACTGCAGCGTTGCCCTCGTTCAACACACAGAGTCCCTTAAGCCCTTGTCCAGCTGCAGCGGTAAAGCAACCGTCAGCATCTACCGGACAAAGAATGTCCGGATGTTCACCAGGTGTCGAATGGTGTGCCATCCACACATGATAATCGTCTTGACCATGTCCCGGCGCTGTGTGCACTACACCGGTACCAGCATCGGTCGTCACATGCCCTCCCACTAGGACTCCCACCTCACGATTTACCAACGGATGCGTAAAGCGCGCACCTTCTAAACTGGCGCCTCTGATTGTCTCCAGTACTTCCAGCTCCACTTCCACCTCAGTGCCTCCCTTCAACATCAATGCAAAACTCTCCTGCAATGCACTTGCAATCAAATAGCACTCTCTTGAGTCCGCATGACAAGGACGTACGATCACGTACTCGAGCTCGGCATTGACACACAAAGCCTGATTAGACGGGATCGTCCACGGCGTCGTGGTCCAAACCACTGCTGCCAAGTCCCGCTTGTACTTGTCAATCGCTCTCGCCAATTCTTTGCTTGTATTTGTACCCATTGAAGCAAAGCGGAACTTGACATATGCAGCTTGAGACACATGGTCGTCATGGTACTCCAGCTCTGCCTCAGCCAGTGCCGTGCGGGAGCTCGGGGACCAATGTACGGGCTTGAAGCCCCGGTAGATAAGTCCGTCCTCCACCATCTTCTTCAGTACGTCGTACTGCCGCACTTCGTAGCTGGCAGCCATGGTCAAGTAGACACTGTCTTGAGCTCCCGACCAGTCTGCCAGCACGCCCCATCGCTCGAACTCCTTCTGCTGTTCCTGTACAGCCTGGCGAGCCAGTTGTCGAGACAACGCACGCACTTGGATCGGGGATAACGCGGTCGCTTCAACTTGCAACTGCTTCAGTGCCTTGTGTTCAATAGGAAGTCCATGACAGTCCCATCCAGGGACGAAAGACACGCGCTTGCCTCGCAGTATTTGGTACCGGTTTATCATGTCTTTCAGTATCTTGTTCAGAAAGTGGCCCATATGTAAACTCCCATTGGCGAACGGCGGACCGTCGTGCAGCACGAACAGCGGCTTATCGACCGACTGGTTCGCGTAGGCGAGCGATACACAGCGCGCATGAAGCTGCGGCTCCCGCACAGCGGCATTCGCGCGCATGGGAAAGCGTGTAGACGGCAAGTTGAGCGTCTGGCGCATGGCCGCCGCCAGTGCCTTGGCGTCCGTCGCTTTCGCCATCAAAGCGCGTGATGATTGGCGACTGCGTACTTGTGCTATGTTCGGTTTTCAGTGCAACAGGTCGGTATGTCCAAACACCGATATCACACCGGTAAGACCATTCAACACAAAACCATACTTCTCACATTCACTCGGTATTTTGTCGCTGGTATTATTACTATTGAGAAACACACTCATGTCGGTAGTCGAGGAGACCGTCGCGCAGCTCCTGTCTGTGCATCTGGGGCTGGTGGACATCAACAGTCTTCCAGATGACAGCGTCCGTGACTTCCGAGACTTGTACCGTCTCCCCCTGCACTCTTTCCAGGACAAATGCCATCTCCTGAGCGCCGCCGAGGCCACCGGCTGCTCGGCTGTTATACTTGACGTGCTCTTCTTTGTATCGGAGACCATGGCGCCTCCTTTGTTCCGCAAACAGCTGGTCGCGTTTCCGTTATCACTAAATCAGTGGGTCTACTATTTGGTCGAACAGTGTATGGTCACGAATGAAACGGTATCGCTCGGTGCACTGCGCGGACTACTGGACCTTTACGTCGGTACAAACCGGTATCGAGAGCTCGCTGCCATGCTCCTCTCGCTAATTTTCTATGATAAAGAGCCCGATCGATCGCTTAAAGTGGCCGATGAAGTACTGGAGATTTCGAAGCTCTATCGCCACCGGTTTCCAGCGGGTCTAATGCAGTTGCTGGACGAGTACGTGACGCTGACCAAGCTGCAGCTTGAGACGGAAATCGAGGACGTTCGTACCGCCCCGGAAGTGTGCACGAGACAAGCTTTTATGGACAAGCGGTCTCGTGGCGTGAGTAACTTGCAGGCCAATTGGCGGATGCGGTCCGTGCGGTTGACAGAAAAGGAGATTGCGTACTATAAACACGAAGGCAAATTGGACTGGTCGGGAAACAAAGCACTTCTTGTGGACAAGACGGAAAAAAGGAGCAAGAAGAAGGGAAGTTTGGTCCTGACGAGAGGGATGCAGGTTGATACGCTGGACTATCGCGGGAAGTTTTCAGTACGTCCGAGTTGTGTCAGAATTTGTGACGCAGCGGGATCGGAACAGTTGATCTTGGATGCATTCACGCCCGAGGGACAACGTCAGTGGGTGGCTGCAATTACTTGCAATGTGAAGCGTCTTGGTCTTGATCCACGTTGGCTGGCGTTTCCACGAAGGTGCGTGCACCGCATGACTGTGGGTGAATTCCTACGCTACTCGATGCTGTACCACGGCGACGCCAGCAAGTCCCACACACGTCATAGCTCGTGTCAACCAGGACTGCTTCGCGAACGGTTTAAAATTGATCCGAAGCGCTATTTATTCTCGGCTCTCGTGACCTGTGCTTTGGTGCGTGACTGGAAGACGATGGAGGCGCTCGTGCAGCCGCGTAGTGCCAAATCGGCCATCATCTCATTATTTGTAGGCGGGAACAGTGGAAAAGTGTCAAGGGCTTCAGGTTCGGCAGTATCATCAGTGTGGAGCTCGACATCCACTCCTGCCCCATCTCCCTACTCTGTATGGTCGGGCAGCATTGACGCTGCGTCATCCTCAGCAAATCGGCCGTCCGCATCATTAAATAGTGCTCCTTCTCGGCCTGTACCTGCGGGCATGACCGAGGTTCAGGCAATGGTTGACGCGAGTGCTATCGGTTACGGAGCCATCCTGGATATTGCCGAGCAACGAAATGCCCCACCAAATTTACTGGCGCTGTTGGAATCGCTGCATGAAAAGAATAGTGCTAAACGGGAACGTTCCACCGGCTGGGCCTGTCGTCGAGACGTGGATGCCAGCGATGCTGCATCTATGAAAATCACCATTGACATTCCAGAGAGTGTTCGTGTGGACACAAGCTGGGACTGATGAGGAACCCATGTCAATACGGCGAGAGAACGCGGATTTGCTACTTCTTTTATCTGCGCGCGACACCACTATTTGTTTGTTAAGATGTTGTTGAAGACCCGTTTTTACGTGCACAGTGTACCCGCTTGTTTTTTCGTCGCAGTGGATGATGGTGGAAAAGTGCAAATTTGCATGATGTCGTGACATGCCTTGTGGGTTACTGTGGCTTATCAAGCGAGGTTGACTTGAGTAGTCCAACCACATCGGTCAAACAATCGGATCACAAGCCATTCCTATGGATTGCACCGTGTTGCAGACTCTTGGCTTCGTAAATTGTGGAATTTGCCCCAAACAAAAGGGCATTACACCTACATATTATCCTCACGTGCCGACTCGACAACTGCATGCAATACAGACAGGCAAGTTTCTGTTTGTTGTTTTAGTCGCTTCTGCGCGGTAGCCTCTCAGTGCTTTCATCGGTCACAAATCAGACTCTTTTGCAAGCAATCATTCGCCTCGTTCGCACGTTCCGATGTTAATAGGAGATCGCTTGACGATGTTCTTGTTGTGCATGTTTCAGTCCTCGTCGACAACAAGCTGAAAGTCTAGTAATAGTTTGGTGAAGAGCACTTTAGTATCTATCTACCTATCATGACGGTGGACTATCACGCATCCGTTGAAATGCTTCGGGGTTTACTTTCTGTGAAAAACGCCGTCGTCAAAGGGATATGTGCACGCCGTGAGTTATCTGCGATGTAGATTTGGTGCCAACTCGAAGCTCGCGCAATAAAACGCTCTCACTTTTTTTGCCGCAAGCGCTTTTCACTGCAATTTTGTTTCGATCATCCTCTAAAACAGCTTCAGGATGAGGAATTCTATCGTCGTCAACACGGTATCGATCACTTTGCAGGCTTACAATGCTCCTGTTGTACCGGGCGTGTACAACAACTTAGTGCCACACGTCACCCTGGGCACGCCAATATGTGCATACGCTTCGACCCGGATCTCACAAACATCGCAGTGAAATGAAGCGAATAGATCTAGAATGTACAAGTCAGCACAAGGAGATAATTTGTGCATCCAAATGTTAGAGTGAAGCTGTCACGTACACTCTTGACGATTCGTACGTAGTAGCAGCTGACATTCAGTATTTAGGCGGTCAATCGTATCCGGTAATGTGTCGCCACTTGCACGTGAAATCACTGTAGCAAGTCAGCAACTTGCTATTTTCTCTGTTGTAAAAAACCTATTTTATATCGACAAGTTCTCTACGCCTTATCGCTGAAATGGTCAAGTCAAAGTCCAAGCAGCTGCATGTTCTACTTTGTTCTGGTCAGACATTGATTAAAGCTTAACTCTGATCAAATGTGGGCGCAACCCCACGCAGAACGCCTTTGTTCAAACACAAATACTGAAAGCTGCAAGCCAGCTCAAACAACTTGTAATACATTAGCTCAATCGTACAATTGAAACGCTCCTGAAAAGCAGCATCATAATAGCCCTGTGGAGTTGCTGTGTAATCAAAGTCCTTGTGTGGTAACATGGAGGTTGTGGGATACCTTGGATGATTATGGAAGGCAAGCAATAAACAGTCGAGCGGCATCGATTGCCTATCGATCTACATGTCATATCCAACAGAGGTGAAATGGAAATCGCCTTGAAAGCGCTAGATAGTCAAACGAAACGCACATTGCTAGCGAACAAAGATGTCAAATGCTTGTTCACTACTTGTATGATGGTTAGTAGCTACAGCAGACATTCGAACCATTTCACGGGCATCTTTGCCTTATTAAGCAACCCGTCACCGCTTTGAAACTGCATGTCAAAGTGGTTCAACTTCGTTCGATAGAAGCGGCTCCTGTAATCGGTTTCGAACTTTGACTCCTCCAACCCTTTTGTGCAGCTTGCATACTCAACTGTTCCGTCGTTTTCTTCGGATTTATGAGGAACGAATCGGCCGATAAACCAAAACCTTGCTTGGTATGTCGACAAAAGCCCCGAATAGCTGTTGCTACACATGGCAGCTGAAACGTGCTTCCGATATGCCTGTTGAACAGATTTGTACGCTTTGTTAAGCTTCGGGAAGCTGTGCTCACCGTTCTCGTACGCCACAGACTTCGTAGCCACGTTTACTGGGCACTGCTGCCTAAACTCAGCGATCTTTTCCATAAAGACATTGGACTCTCCATTGCACACGTCTTGAGCAAAGTCAGAGCCCATGCTTCCTGACATGGGTGCTGCGATACTCACCCATGTTGAGCTTGGATCCAACTTACACCTGCCACTAGCGATCGCACCACCTATAAATAGGCCTCCCATCGAATGAGTCACAACGATCGTATCCCTAATAGTGGAATTGGTGCTGCTGTTGCTCACTGCAAGAGCGCGGTCGCACACCGCCTGCTGTTGAGAAGCTTGTGCCCACGAGTGGTTGACTGTATTCAGATGTGCATACTTCATCGACGAGCAACAAGGAGCGTGGTCAGCAATTGGTCCCCAGTATGGCAACGAGTCCAGATTCATCGGCGAGCTCTTTTTCACTCCTAGTCCATGGATGAAAATGCACGGACGACGTTTTGATTTGCACGTGCACGCAACATCATCTTCGAAAGGAAACGCTATCGCAGGTGCCAATTTCCTTTTGTTTGTTAATACCATCGTTCCAGTGAGTAGCGACTTGCCAATCGGTGTCACCGCGCTCAACAACACGTCAGCTTCGCACTCGTCGTCATCGTTATCATCGTCAGCCTGGATGACTGGAGCCACGATATGTACGCGAGTGTCGAGATACTCGACTTCAATGTCCATGTCAACCCCATACATCTTGAAGCCCACGTCTTGCGATGCACACAAAGCGAAATCAAAGTCATCTACCGACACCTTAAAAATGCTTCCTGCTTCACATTTGATCGTACTCCCCATGCTTCCAGAGAGCTCGGTCACCGGCAGAGCTTCGTTCAAAGCATTGAGAATCGAATGTAACGGTGGAAAGCCGCTGAAATCTGATCGAAGACAGCGGACCGATGGAGAAAGCGAGGAGCCAGCGACCCGAGGATTTCGCTGCAAATAAGACACGCCATTCACAAGTGTATAGTTGTACACCGCCGTGGGGTCGTCAATCGTTGCGAACGCGTCAAACAGGACGCTGGTCGTATCGGACGATGCAACGGGACTGGCGTACATGGAGAACTCGGAACGTCCGTACAAATGCATGGAGTTGCGCTTGACTGTGAAGTGGAAGAGCAGCGACGGCCAGTCAGAAGTCCCCACGCTGTCTCCACTCCAAGCTTCAGAAGTCCCCATCTGCGTCCCTCCGACTTGCATTGTCCTGGGGTCCTGTAGAAATGCCACGTATATTCCTGACAAGACCAAGAGCAGCGTCCACATGTTCCTCCTGCCGCTTCCGTGATGTCGGGTTGAAATTAGAAAGTGAGGGCCCACCGGACAACTGCACACTCGGATGGACATAGCCTCGGAGAGACTGTAGACATGGAAAGGGCCTTTTTTTCATAGCGAAGTTAGGCTCCACCGGAACAGATATCGCCTCAAGCTCAAGAACAGCTGTGCAATGTTTGACTCGCATGGTTCAAGTCAGGCTTCGAATGAGCGACTGGCCAAGACACGGGTTTTATGTATGCATCGATAGACAAATGTAGGCAGGTGGGCTAAATCGATCGCTATCGGACGAAATGTACTTGATAATTGGGCTCGCGTGTCCTTTCTGCTCCTTTGCTAGAAGCTCGGCGGCATCTTGACGGCTTCGCTCCTCAATCGAACGAGCCCGTAGAAAAGAGACGGCTGGAAAATGACATACAAATTTCAAGTGAGTGCTGGTTGTGCAGACGTAGGTACCCCGTGTCGGTAGAAACTCTTGTGATAGGCAGTAAGTGGTCCGGAACTTTGGGTAAAAACACGGTTGTAGGTCGAAAGGATGCAGCGCATTTCGGTAGCTCTCTACTCTAGTGCGCCGACCTCAGATGAAGTATGCAAATAACGCACGACTTCACGGCCGGTCTTCCTCTCTGAGAAAGTCAGAGCGTGGCGAAGGCGCAATCACGAAAAGCTCGACGTCCACAACTACACATTCTTGATGGAGTGAGCCCCTTACAATCACACAGGCGACTGTCGTGGCTTTGTCACGTACCTCCAAACAGTAATCTCTCTCGAATAGATCCGAGCAGCTGATCAGCCGACAAGCCACTTCCCGATCGGCAGCAGCTGCAACAACGGACAGAGACGAGACCATCCGGGGAGCCAGGAAACTGGTCCCCTTTCCTTGGACGGGAAGTCCCCCATAGTGAGGCCAAGGTGAAAGTGCCCCGCCGTGACGCCCGACGTCTTGAGCTAGCAGAATGAGAAAGCTAGGAGTAGTAAGAATATGTCATGGTAGATGATCACACGTGGTGGTTACCACGCAACCAGACATCTTATTACGCAAAAAACTACGCAGCTGTCAGCATAACTACATGATGTAAGCTTTTTTAACCGAACGTGACTGATTTTGTTGTGGCCGCCTTGGTTTGTCTTTTTAGTCTTCAGTTAGGCCCAACGGTGTAATGTTGCTCGTGTCGTTTGGAACCACGTCGTCGACTTCAAATCATCGTTCTCCTCTATCAACTGGAGCCACTGACATGCAACAAATCTTCGCCGATACCTGATTGATCCTAAAATCCTGAGCCAATGCCAGACAGCCAGAAAAGTTGTCTCGGATTTCTCGGAACTAAGATTAGGGAGCGCATTTGGAGCTCGCCCCTTGATATGTGTAATTTAGTTTATAGAACTGTATCAAGTTGAAAAAGACTGTAAATGTAACGGGGCACCCTGAAGCTTGTACTGGTAACAGTACAAGCTACTTTTTCTGATGACAGAATAAGGCGGTGCCTCAGAACTTCACGTACACTCGTACGTGCAGAGGAAGACGGTAAGAAGAAGCGAGTACTTGATTAAAGTAAAAAGTAGAACTGTATTTATAATAGTCAATGTCTGCAATAAATCACTATTTATCTTCATCTAACTATGTCTAAATACAAATGTGCATATCAACTATCTGCTCACCACTCATTGCGTGCGTCTGTCGTGGCGCGTCTTCATTGGTTGATATAATGGCCTATATCAACCAATTAGGAACTAACATTCTGAGAATATAACTCTTATAGTCATATTCTATTAACAATTTCTTATAAATTGTTATGTAACGATTCACCCCGTTACATCACCCCCCCCCTTAACCATCAGTCACTTTAGTGACTGATTGACTAAATGGATACTCGTCCCAAATCATTTGGGACAGGGTTTGCACTTGTTGGTCCGAGTCCACTTTCTAATAATTCATCGCATGGTTAACAAGCCCATGCGATGCGCGAGCAAGGCCGCCGAGAGCGCGTCCGCACGTCTCTGTGCGGACGCCGAAGCAGAAACAACAGCAACTGATGTCTCATCGGTTGCTGAAGCGACCCAGCCTGTGTCACCTGGTGATGCAGGCGCTGGTCATGAAGACACTCGTGTCTTCACAGAGTATGAGCTCGGAGTCTCATACTCTCCTGATACGGAAGACGGATCCGTATCGACGGCGATCGAATCCAAGCCGCCTGCCAAGCGTGGCATGGATGATGCTATGCTAGCATCTTTGGTTCATTTGATGAATCAGATGAACCATCGCCGAAGCGAAGGCGCTCGAGGTCGCGAGAATCGGGCGCTAATAGTGGTGTCGGTTCTCCTCTGGACACCACTTCGCAACGAGGTGCCAGTCCTTTTGTCGGCACGTCGCAGGAAGAGCGGGACCGCAATGTCTTGCGTCTCGCTCCCGAGAAGAAGAAGGCATGGATGCCTCCCAAATCCGTCATGGATCACTTGTCGGCGACGACGATCGTTATCGAACACGATTGTTCGATTCGTCAGGGATCCATCACCTTGACCCCAGTGCGAAAAACTATCGCGCTGAGAATGAGTTCATCATCGATTCTTTCTTCAATCATCGATGGTACAGTGGGAATCACAAGCGTGATGGTCCCTCACTGCTTCAGGCGTGGAACGCCTACATCCATAACCTTGAGGATGTAGGTCGTGACGCTTGGAACGACAAACTTATCAAAGCTCGTGATAAGTTTGAAAAGCGAACCCCGACAGGTGCACGCTACAAGCTGCATCGTCTGTATAGGGAGAAAGGGTTACCCTGCCTCTCTTGGGGAGACCAGTGCCCTTGTTGTGTGAACAACTCTGCACGAGCACCTAAGGAGGCTTACCTCCTTACCAGCCCGTGGTGGCGCGTACGTGTCTCTACTGAGATGTACGAAGGGATTGACAACCTGAAATCCCTTTACGACCGTACCGGGAAGACTTTCTCCGGCGGTCCTTCTGCGGCACAGGATGTGCCGCGTCGTACTGCTCAACCAGACCCAGTACGTCAACTATCAGTTGGGAGCGGGGCTCCCAAGTATCCCAGGACGGGGGATAGCCGCGCCACCGGACGAGATAACTCGTCCGACGTCCGTTCACGTCGCGGTGGTTCAACAGCTGCTCAACTAGATCGCGCTGGCCACCGCGAGAGTCCTCTAATGGAGGTGGAGGAGGAGGAAAGACGCTCTCCACACGATCATGTGGATCGGTGTGTACCCGAGAGCTTCTTTGATCGCGTAACGCAAGGGTTACGCGACGATCTCGAACATGAGCGGAATAGGCGTCTCCAGATGGCGGACACTGCCTCGAAGCATCGAGCTGAGTTTGCCTTTGCTCAGCTCGAGAACGAGAGATCTCTGACATCTCTTCGTGACGAGCTAAGGGTAGCTCGTGGGATTGCTGATCGGTCTCGGGATGAGATAGCTGCTCTTCAGACCCTTGTTGATGCCCACCATCGGGAGCACAAGGCTCTCTGCGAGATGCTTGAGCGCAAGGGCGTTCTTCATCGGAAGAAGCAGCGTACTGATGGTACGGCTTAAGCCGACCAACGTAAAACGTGGGATGCGTTCGCATCTTACGTGGTAACTCGATCGTGTATGCATTGCCTAGGCGGTGCAATACACGAAATGGGCCAATGTACTTGGGTAGTAGTTTACTGCTACCCAAGTTAGTCACTACATGTTTTGGTAGATTAACCGTAGACAGTAGGACTAAGTCACCTTTATTAAATAAAAGAGTGTTTGCCCTTCCATTCTTGTCAGCGTTTTGCTTTTGCTTATCCACCGCTTCGGCGATGGAGTCTTGCACAAAACGGACTACCGTTTCACGAGCCAGTATGAACTCATCTGATGACTCGTTAGCTTCAGTGTGCTGTGAGCGCACTGCAGCGACAACAACCTTTTCTTCAGTGAGGGCTTCCGCACTCTCACTGGGATCATTGTCTTCAGTGAGGGCTTCCGCACTCTCACTGGCATCATCTTCTTCGATATCGATGTTATCGATATCGGCATCAAACGCAATGACCTCTTCGTCAGAGCGTGATGAGAGTGAAACAAATCGGTTTTTGCTCGCGCGAGTCCCTCCCCCCTTGAACCAGAGTTACACTCTTGTAAGGTGGGTACACGCGGATGGCGCAAGCCATTCACGTAAAACGGTGTATGCGTCGTGGACGCATGCACCGAGTTGTTAATGGCAAACTCTACTATGGGCAAGAACTCACTCCAACTCCTAAAGGAGTGTACGTATCCTCGAAGTATCTCTTCAAGGACACGATTGGCACGTTCCGTCTGACCATCTGACTCTGGATGATCAGATGTAGACATCTTCAAGCGCGTTCCGAGTGATTTGAACACGGAACGCCAGAAATCAGCAGTGAATCGTGGATCTCTGTCTGATACGAGCTCACGGGGCAACCCATGAAGTCGGAAGATGGTGTCAATAAAGACACAAGCACAGCCACTTGCCGTGATTGTCTCTGGTACAGCCACAAGGTGTACCATTTTGCTGAATCTGTCAACAAATACGAGAATACCCGTATTCCCTCGTGCGTCTTTGGGTAATCCGAAGACAAAATCCATTGAGACGGATTCCCAGCACTCAGCCGGAACCGGTAGAGGCTGTAAAGGTGCACGCAGTAAAGGACTTGACTTCATTCGTTGACAGACTTCGCATGCGCGAACATACTTGCGCACAAACTGATACTGGCGGGGCCAGTAAAAGTCTCGACTCACCGTGAGATACGTTTTCTCTCGGCCACGATGTCCTCCTACAGGAGCATCGTGATACTCGAACATGATCCGCAAACGCAGATCAGTATCATCTGGAACGACAACACGTGGTGTGTCACCAGAAACGGCTGTATAATACAGTAAACCGTTACGAGTAGTGTATCGATCTGATGCAGATCGATACGCAGACGACAATCGTTTCAACGATTCTCGAGATGGTTGGGAGAGATGTGTCAACAACTTCACTATCTCACCATCTTGGGCGTATGCCCGCCTCACATCATCATACAACGTTGTAGATGGGACTGAGGACGTCATAACCGCAACAGTGAATGTCTTACCGTTGGGTTTCGCGACTGTTTCAAAGTCGGGACGACGTGAGAGTGCATCAGCGACGACATTAAGTCGTCCTGGTTTGTACTCGACCGTAAAGTTGTATTCCGCAAAGAATGACAACCACCGCGCCATTCGTTGTGAAAGGTGCGGGCTGTTCACTGCCGTGCGTAATGACGCATGGTCAGTGTAAACAATGAAGGGTCTATCTCCTAATAGATAGACTCTGAGCTTCGCGAGTGCATACTTCATGGAAAGGCGTTCCTTGTCATGCACTGGATAGTTCCGCTCAGCTGGTTGCAGCTGACGCGACTGATAGCAGACGACGCGTTCAACGCCTTCAAGATCGTACTGCATTAATGCACAGCCGATTGCGAAATCGCTGGCATCACAGACCACATGAAATGGCCTGTCCTGATCGGCTATTGCTAGGACTGGGGATTGTATCAAGCTCTGCTTGATACCGTCAAAGGAGCGTTGACATTCAGCGTTCCATAACCACCTCTCGTTCTTTTTCAACAAACGAGAGAGGTGCACAGTCATCTCGGCGTAATTGCGTGAATACTTATGCAAATACGCCGCTAGCCCAAGGAATTTTCGAAGACCTTTGACATCGACCGGCACAGGCCAGTCGGTGATCGCCTTGATCTTTTCGGGATCAGGACGTACACCGTTCTTACCAACGATGCACCCAAGAAGTGGTATTTCGCTTGCTGCAAATATACACTTCTTGAGGTTAGCATACAATTGATGCTTTCGCATGATTGTAAGAACTTGTCGGACGTGGTACCTGTGAACCTCAACGTCCGACTTTCCATCCATAGCCCGACTATGGATGAATACGTCATCGAAATAACTCGGCGCGAATTCTCGCACTGGTCTCAACACATGTGATACACATCTGTTGAACGTGGCAGGGGCATTACTAAGCCCTTGTGGCATTACTAAGCCCTTGTGGCATTACTAGCCACTTCCAGAGCATGCCGCTAGGCGTGCTAACTGCGGTATAGGGTATATCCCGTTCTCGCATAAGGATTTGATAGAAGCCATCCATCAAATCCATGGACAAAAAGATGGTACTCTTTGACATACCATCAATGATTACGTCCTTCCTCGGTATCGGCGTCTGAGCCGGTACCGTTGCAGCGTTCATTTTGTTGAACGCGTGCACTATCCGCCACCCTCCTGTTGCTTTTCGCACACAGAAGGTCGGAGAGCTATGTGGGGAAGTTGATTCCCTCACATGGCCCGCAGCTAAACGATCGGCAAAGAACTTGTCGATCGCAAGTACTTGTTCACGAGGCAGTGGACACTGCTTCATGACACAGAACTTCGAGCCTGGTTTAAGCTCGACCTCGTGTCGAATACCTTTATCCTTCGGGAACTCGCACGGAACAGTTTCAGGGAGTACATCCTTGAATTCAACCAAATCTTCATAGATTTGATTCGTCTTGAGCGATTCCCACGATTGGGAGTCATATCGCTCAACTCGTGTCTTTTCATCGAGGACACTCTCGTCCATCGATGAACTACTGAGAACTCTCTCGTTCTCAATAAACATTGTTGCTGACCTTATGTCGGCTACACACTCGTCGTCAGCGATGAGTACGCAGATCTGCTTGACTTTGCCACTACGCATATCACGCAAGAACCTTGTGTTCGAGCGTTGGAAACTGAGTGATCTCCGAAGTCAACTTCGGAGGCGCAATCAGATCAAGTGTATAAGCGCCTACACTTGATCCGTCATTGACTAGTACATTCAATGTCTCTGTCATTTCCTGGGGACTTATTCCCTCAGGCTTCGAAGGACTTATTCCTTTGGCTTCCCGGGGACTTATTCCCGCGGGTTTCGGGGAACTTATTTCCGCCGTATTGTAATCTTGAGACTTATTCCCTTTACTTCCTCTAGCTGGGGTTGCGCAACCACAGCGAGATCCTCTACGAAAGACTCTCCAGTCGATCTAGGATTATCGTTTCGCTTAACCTGAACGATCGATTCTTTCTCTTCTAGATGTTCCCCGCTAGGGATACATCTTTGTCCCAGTCCACTCGATTTATTCGAGTGGTGGACCTTCGGCGCAGCCTGTGTTTCCTCACAGCCGCCGGAACTTTGCTCCGAAGTGTAACCGTTTGGTACACTAAGGTTTTGTGCAGTCGTACTAACGACCGTACCACAAGTGAGGCCATCGCACTCACTCGTAGTACATCCACACGGTTCTGGACGCTCCAAAACGTTCATCAGATGGCCATCTGATGAACAAGCGGCAGGTATCGTTACTGTTCGATGTTGCCAGTTTACCCGTGGTTCGTACCTTCTGAGCCACGGTATTCCAAGGATGACATTAAATTTGTCATCCAAATCCAATACGATAAAGTCATCGTCATATTGGGTATCTTCTAGCGTATAGTGGATCTTCACTATACGCTTCATGACGGTTACGGATGCGCCTGTCGCAAGACGTACCGTCATCCTCGTAGGAGGTGTGTCACATTCACTGAATTTAAAGTGATCATCTTCTAGCGATTGGCGTCGCACAAAATTGTTGGACGCCCCACAATCGACTAGAGCTCGAAGGGACAACTTATTCGTCACTTCGAGTTTCAAGGTAATGAGTGAGACCTCATTACCTAGAGCAGCAACGCACAACGTCTGTGTGTTGGGAGCAACCTTCATCAAGAGGCCTACAAATTCTCTTGACGTTACTAGATCAGTAAGGTGCTCCGCACCTACTGATCCTGTCCGTTTTTTGACGGTCCATCCCGTTGTTGCGTCTTTGCACCAACTACGGACCCTCGTCCCTGCCCCTCTCTCATGGGTGGACGGTCACTACGCCCAGTGTCGCGAGACACTGGAAGAGGGGCACTACACTCGTAAGCGTAGTGTCCTGTCTTCTGACATCTGTTGCATTTCTGCAACTTCTTGTAGTCTGTAGAGCGAGCCTTCTCGCTCTCTACATAACAGAGTTCCATCGGCTCTGGACCTCCGTTGTCATATCGTCTCGGTTGACGATACGATGTCGAGCTGGCGCGAGCCTGTCTCAGACTGAAGTCTTCCTGTTCCGCAATGAAAATGGCTTGTTCTAGCGAATCTAGTTCAAGCCGGAACAGGTGAGTCTTGACGGAACCATCCGCAAGACCCTGCATGAACACCGAAACCAACGTGCGTTCATCCACCGGATTGGAACTTATGCAACTCGTGAGATGTCGTATATGTTGAGCGTAAGCGTGCACATCACGCTTACCCTGCTTGAGCTTCAAGAGTTCGGTTCGAGCTCTGAACTCAGCTCTAGGCGGTTCAAACGTTTGTCTGAGCCGCGACTTGAAGACTTCTAACGACCCAAACGCATATGGGTCATGCAACTTGAGCCCCAGTGCCCAAGTCTTGGCAAGTCCTGCCAGATTTGACTGGGCAAATGCAACTTGCATATCCCCGTCGTCGATGCGACGCGCCCTTATGGCGTCGTCCAATTCGACGAACCATCTCAAGAGGGAGTCTTCTTCGACCCCCCTATACTTGGAGATGTAAATCTTCAAAGTCTCGGGTCGACGCGAGTGCATCGACCCACCAGCAGCAGCCTGCTGCTGTCTCAACAGTTCAAACTGTTGGGCACCTTGTTCTCTCAACAACTCTGCTTGTTGAGAACCTTGTTGGTGAAGCAAGGCTACTTTCTCGCGTTCGGCGTCAAGTTCATTCAAAATGAACTTGACGATAGTAGCATGTTGGGCATCTCTATTGAGAGCCTCTAGCATGACGCTAACAGCATGGATGCCCATGGTTGAACCCATTCGTTCAACCGCATCCCATTCGACATCGCTCAAATGGGAGTAGCCGTCACGCGTAGCGCGAAAGCTTTGGTCATCTTCATCATCCGACATATTCATGTTGGATGTGAACGTGGTCCTTGGACGGACTACGAAGTGCTACCAGGTGTAACGGGGCACCCTGAAGCTTGTACTGATGACAGTACAAGCTACTTATTCTGATGACAGAATAAGGCGGTGCCTCGGAACTTCACGTACACTCGTACGTGCAGAGGAAGACGGTAAAAGAAGCGATTACTTGATTAAAGTAAAAAGTAGAGCTGTATTTATAATAGTTAATGTCTGCAATAAATCACTATTTATCTTCATCTAACTATGTCTAAATACAAATGTGCATATCAACTATCTGCTCACCACTCATTGCGTGCGTCTGTCGTGGCGCGTCTTCATTGGTTGATATAATGGCCTATATCAACCAATTAGGAACTACTCGTAAGTGCTACAGAATATTTGTCCTTATGACAATATTCTGAGAATATAACTCTTATAGTTATATTCTATTAACAATTTCTTACAAATTGTTATGAAACGATTCACCCCGTTACAGTAAACGGCAGGCACTGAAGAACAAGCATGACGCTGTCAATGTATGTATTAACACAGTCTGCATAGAACGAGATACCAATTCTTGGCTGCATCGTGGGTAAAACGACGTACGCCCTGATCTAGAAAAGATCAAGGCGATTAGCGACTGGCCTGTGCCAGTCGACGTCAAGGGACTTCGAAAGTTCCTTGGCTTGGCGGCGTACTTGCACAAGTACTCGCGCAACTACACCGAGATGACCGTGCATTTCTCTCGTCTGCTAAAGAAAAACGAGAGGTGGTCATGGAGTGCTGAGTGTCAGTCTCCTTTAAAGGTGTCAAGAAAAACTTGATACAATCGCCTGTTTTGGCGATTGCAGATCAGGACAGAACATGCCATGTGGTCTGTGACGCCAGCGATTTTGCGATCGGCTGCGCGTTGATGCAGTACGAATCAGACGGCGTTGAGCGCATCATATGTTATCAGTCGCGTCAGCTGCAAGCAGCTGAGCGAAATTATCCGGTGCACTGACAAGGAGCTCCTTGCCATTAAATTTGCACTGGCTCAGTTTGGGGTATATCGTTTAGGAGATAGGCCATTCATCGTTTATACCGACCACGCGTCGTTACGCACGGCCGTAAACAGTCCACAACTTTCGCAACGAATAGCGAGGTGGCTGTCTTTCTTCGCGGAGTACAACTTCTCCGTCGAGTATAAACCAGGGCGACTTAATCTAGTCGTCGATGCTCTTTCGCGCCGGCCCGATTTTGAGTCGACTGCTCAACCCAACAGTAGGGTGATCCCACTGTAGCGACACTATCAGTGAGTGCTCCATCGTCGAATCTGCTCGATGACGTGCGAAGAGCATACACAGAAGATGAGTATCTTCTGCGATTGACGTAGCCAATCCATGCAGTCAAGCTTTGAAGAGCTTGTCGTCTCGATACCGCTCTTTAACCGAACGGTATTCTGTTCGCGATGGACTGCTGTACTATACAGCAGTCAACGGCGACACACCTCGTGTCGTCGTTCCCGCTCATAATGATTTGCGATTGCGCATTATGTGTGAGTGTCACTATGCCCAAACAAGTGGGCATCGCGGTAGAGAAAAGACCTACCTCGTGGTGAGTCGTGACTTCTACTGTCCCCGCCAGCATAAGTTTGTGCGGAAATACATCCGATCTTGCGAAGTTTGTCGACGGCTGAAGCTTATTCCTTCATCCCACGCACCCTTGCAGCATCAACCGATTCCGGAAGATTTTTGGCAGTCCGTACCGATGGCTTTCATCTTTGGGTTTCCCAAAGACACTCACAAGAATACTGGTAATTCTTGTATCTGTTGATCGGCCCAGCAAGATGGTACATCTTGTTGCTGAACCGGGGTCAATCACAGCCCAGGGCTGTGCTCGTGTCTTCATCGATACTATCTTCCGACCTCACGGATTACCCCGTGAGCTCGTGTCTGATAGGGGCCCCCGCGTCACAGTGGAGTTCTGGCTATCCGTGTTCCGCTCACTTGGAACACGTTTGACGATGTCAACTTCTGACTATCCAGAAACAGATGGTCAGACGGAGCGCATTAACCGCGTCCTCGGAGAGATACTTCGAGGACATGTCCACTCGTTTACGAGCTGGAGTGAGATCTTGACGATGGCGGAATTCGCCATCAACAACTCGGTGTACGCGTCAGCAACGCATATACGTTCTTCGTGAATGGCCTACGCCATCCACGTTTACCCGCCTTCTCAGAGTGTGACTCTAGTTTAAGGGGGGCCTCGCTCGAACAAAACCGATCTGGTTCTTGCTCATCACCCGTCGACAATGGTGTTGACGTGATGGATGCCGATGTCGATCACATCGTCATCGATATCGATGATGATGACGACGATGCTGGTATATTCAACATTGCCAATGACTACCATAGTGAGGACGATGACGCCTTCACTGGTGAGGACAACGTCCGCACACGAAGCGCACTACTGTTGACAAGGATGATTCAGCAGCGAAATTTCTGTTGACTCGCGAAGCGGTTGTCCGCTTCGTTCAAGACTCTATTGCAGATGCACTAGACAGACAGAAGAGAAACGCAGACAAACATGGAAGAGCAAATGTTCTTTCATTTGATGAAGGAGACCTAGGTTCACTGTCTACAGTAAATGTACCGAAACACGCAGTAACAAACTTGGGCAGCAGTAAATTACTGCCCAAGTATGTCGGTCCACTTTGTGTGTTGCGCTGAATGGGCAACGCATAAACGGTTGAACTGCCCCGTAAATTGCGTACGCTTTCTACGTTTTATGTTGGACGTCTCCGTCCATAATATCAGTACGAGCCCGATTCGAGAGGCGAATAACACCTCTGCGGTCAAGAGCCGAGACCACCTTCACGTGGTCCCGTTTTAACGAGCCAGTCTAAGTGACTAGCGAAGCGACCTGCTCACGCAGTTGAGCGATGTCTCGACGAGCTGCAGCCAGCTTGTCACGAAGTGAACGAGCCGAACGTTCGTTCTCAAGTTGCGAGAACGCAAACGCAGCACGATCGTTCGAACGATCGTGCGCTATGGAATTGCAATGATCCCTACAAGGTCATGAAGCTCATAACGCCGAGTCCGTTCATGAGCCAGGTCATCTTGTAACTGATCGGTTACATGGTTCAGCTCCTGAACATCAAGATGATCCAACCCTCGAGCCGGATCGGGTGTTCCCACCACCACCATATCCTTTGGTGGATTCTGGCGGTGGTCGCGCTTTCTGGTGGAGCATATTTTGAACCACCGTGACGTGAGTGGCGTCCGGACGAATTATCTCGTCCGCTGGCGTTGCTATCCACCGGCGTGGGACAGCTGGGAATCTCGTGCCCAGCTGATTGTTGATGCCCTGTCTCGTCGAGCGATGTGACGAGACCCACCCACTGCGTTCGATGAAGGGCCGTCGGAAAACGACCTCCTCGAACGCGAGTACAGAAATTGAACATTGTCAATCCCTTCGGCCATCTCAAAAGAGATGCGCGCCCTCCAGTAGGGATCAGTAGGGATGAAATCCTCCTTAGGGGCACGGTTCGAGTTGTCCAGGCAACCTGGACACAAATCACCCCACGAGAGACAGGGTAATCCTGCCTCTCTTGACAGTTGGTACGACTTGTATCGCGCCCCAACTGGATGCGTTTCTCAAACCTGATGCGAGCTGTATAAAGTTTACCGAGCCAAGCCTCACAGCCAATGCACTCGATGTTATGGATGAGGGCATTCCATCCTTGCACCAAGCTTTACCGTCCCGACCACGGCTTCCATTCTACCACCGATGTTTGAAAAAAAATGCATCGATGAAGAACTCTTCCTCAGCACGGATAGTTTCCGTGCTGAAATTAGGTGGGCAATTCTTCCTACAGTCGAACAACGGGATTCGATCTCGATCGGTAGTCATGCCATCCAACCGGTCCAACTTTTCGGATGATGTGGCGCAGGACATTTCGGTCCCTGGCCTCTCGATTGGTGTCAGCATGAGCACTGACATTAGTGACACCCCGATTCCTTGAGTTACTTCGTACGTTATGATGTGTAGGTGCTTCACCACCATCGTCACGCGTCCTATCGTTAAATGGACTTGCGTGAGGCGAATATTCGTCGGAATAATCGCTCAATTTGAAAATATCGAGCATGATGCCGCCACGTTCACCAGAGCCAGTCAACGTGGCTCTTGTAGTGTTCTCCCCGAATGATCCGGAGGCGTGAGGTGTCACTTTCGAGACCGATACATCATTTAACTCTTTAGAATAGATTAGCTCTATTTCAGACTCATCTATATTTACGATTTGCGGAATCCGCTGCAGCCGTAGCGGATGTACCTTTCGCACGTGGTGACTTACCCCGTGGACGATTTACAACAACAGGCGACGAATCACCTGCTTCTGAGGTGTGAGAGGTACTTTCTCCGGTTGCACGCATGCGTGCAGCCGCCTTTCATGCTGATGCAGTAGCAACTCGCTTGGGTTTCGAAACCATGCGTTGGATTCGCAAACAAATGAATATTTACCCACAAAGGCTCCCTTTTTCAGAGTGATCCAAGGGTGGTCACCCTGTCCCAATTAATTCTATTTAATAAACGGGTAATCAATGGTTAAGGGGGGGGTGATTTAACGGGGTAGGCCGTTACATGAAATTGACACCAAACGGTGTCAATAGAGATATTGTCTAGCATGATAATATTCTACCAATAGTATCCGAGATGGATAATATTGAAGGAATATCATCCCCTTTTAGGATAATATTCATGCGCTGCTCCAAGATTGGTTGATAAAAGATATGTCGACCATAGATTGCCACGAATCGCTGCTAGACGCGCGCAATGAGTGGTGAGCGAGTTGTCGTCATGCGACGACGTAGTTTGATATAGTTAGATAACGATTAAAGTTATATTGATAGCTTAATTATATTAAATGCAGTTCTCTTTTTACATTTACTCAGCTTAGTCGTTAAGTAGACTAGCTTCCTCTGCAAGTACTAGTGTACGTGAAGTTTCGTGGCACCCAAACAAAGAGTGCCCCGTTACAGTAGACGCTTTTACGCTAATGTTGTCTAAATGTGATGAGTGTTGTCGATGGACGAAAGAGCGGTGACATTTTTGTCAGCAATGCACCATCGCTTTCCTGCAATCAAGTAATAATGACTCACGCCGTCATCTGATTGCTATACAAGACGCGACTTCCACCCGACGAGATATCGCCTTTTTTAAACATATTATAGTTTTCGATGGTGTAAACCAATTGTCAGTCTCGAAACGTACCTCGTGACGAGTCGTGTGCTGTAATGTAGACACGGTATGCGCGTCAACTCCGGTACTTCGCGCAACAGATGCACGCTAATTATTACCAGGTACGCTTGAAATGGCAGTCTTACCGCTGCAGTATAAAACGGTGCAATAGCATGTCTAGCATTCTGGTTGTTGATGATAATGCTATAGAACGTAATAGCAAAGTTGCGGCGAATCAAAATTTTGTTGTCCATTACTGCATTTTTGTGCTTTCCGGAGCTACGTCAATCACCGCATTGGCCTAAAATGCATGCATTCATTACCCCGGTCCGCACACGAGTGTCATATTTGCTGACCCCAAAATGTATGACTAAATTAGCGCCTCTGTCGCTCTTCATACAAACGACCATCTTTCGAGAAGAACGCAACAGCTCGAGGTGTTGCAACCATCTTAGACTCTATCACGCTACTTAGCAGGTGACGTGTCAGTTTGTCTTGCCGAGGTGTGTTTTTCATGTCCTTCTGCTCACGATCCCGTTAAGAAATACCCGTAGAAGTCAAAGTACTGGCGCCTTACTTCTTTGTCAGGGACGTAGAAAATCTAAAAAAAGCACACCACGCTTTAATTTGAAATGGCTTGGCCTCTTCTCGATTTTTCTTAACTATCGATTGGTCATTTTTCATCATCGCTCTTGTGGAATATCTTGCAGGAATGTACATGCAAAAGCGTAATGAAAAATTGTAAGCACCATAAGTACGCAAGACAAGGAGGACTATCCGTAAATTCTGAAAGACATTCATTCATTTGCATACATTGATCAAGACACTAGATTCTGAGGACAACATAACTCTGCAGAAATCGGGTAGTCAGCAAGGAAGGGACATACGTCACCTAATAACCACAAAAAATCAAAAAGAATTAGAAAGTCGAAAAGATATGGAGCGAGACAATACTACGGCTGTTGAGTAGACAGGGGCTAGTCCCCAATCAGCCGTAGTGTAGACTGATTTACTAAACACTTCATAATACACCTCCGACTCTACTTAAACTAGCACACGTACTGCTATATAATTCTCTGGTCCATAACATGTGCTTTACTTTACATGCTATGAAGCACATATTCATCTGATATCGTGTTCGGCCTGTCCGAGTGAATCCATAGAAACTGGGATTCCCCTTGTTCTTTTTAAAGCACTGCAATAATATTTGACGTTGCTGGCGACGTCTTCGTTATCGCGCATTCTACTAGTAGATTCCGTTTGGGTTTTCTCTGAGGAGAATTGATGTGAGCAGAATGCTTGTTCTGCTAACACAGTCTCATAAGTCTCTCCTGGCAACACATCACAGGTAGATGTGTTCGAGAGCTGTTGGATTATCGTGAAGTCAGGATGTTTCAGGTTGTACGATTTTATGCTGTGGAGAACGCTGCGCAGCAAATAAACGATGGTTGCTAATGCCCGCTTTCGATATTTGGCGTCGAATGGTGCTCCGATTTTATATTGTTAGCGGAATCTGCACATGTACATGATATATTCCGTCCACTCAAGTGTGTGTTCTTTTGCCGCATATGACCTGCTTCCATTACATCTCTGCTCTGTCAGAGTAAAGTGCTTTTCTTCTCAGCCCCGTGGATCTCAGTTTATCATTACGTAGACCGACATGGCAGCGTTTTACATGGAAGCACCCGAGTCTGTGATGGTATGTGTTCACTTAATTCATTGTGCTCAGTTCTATCCCTCTTCCCAACAAACTATTCTATACAATGACGCAGCCGTCTAAAAAGTGCTGCTCGGAGCAATATCTCTGTATCCTGGGTTGAGGCATCGGACGCCATGGGTCTTGTGGTGTATTTCGAAACAGGATCGTCGAGTCTAATTTCCCTGGAGCCTGACATTTCCAAGCAGTGACGCATCTATCAGGTGCTTGGGTACGCCAAGTATGGCAAGTTTGAATATTGCGACGCA